AGGCATAGTTGGACGTGGCAGAAGGATGAGAAGGAGGAGGGGGTTAGGGTGGGGTATCGGGGAGTGATTATGAAGACGTTGGATGAGGGGGATTGTAAAAGTGTGCCGCCGGTGAAGAGGAGCTACTAGAGATTTCCCCTTGGGTCTTTTGTCAGATAAGTGTAGGGGCGGTCATGGGGGAAATGAGAGAATATAGAGGACTGACGTGTTACTTGTCGCATGTAGTCGAATGCAAGGTACGGGCCGCGGATGCACAAACAGACCCGGTATGTTGCCCGATGTATAGACTTAGATAATGGACCCGCTTCTGAGGTGCACCTGCATAGCTGCTCACCGGCCAGACCGGCGCTTTGCTTGTGCCCAGTGACAGCCTTTACTGGGCGATGGTGGCAAATCTTAATGTGAGAAGAGAGGCAGAGATGGGCGGGGTAGAGGACACGATGATCCTGAGGCCCCCAGTCTCCGAGTATAAACCCCCTCCTCTCTTTCCCTCCTCTTCTCCCATAATTTCCTCCACTCTTCTGTATCCAGATTTTTTACATACTGCTGAGATTCTTCCATCTAGGAGTAGCAACAGAACCCCTCTGCATGAACATTCTTCTCGCGGAGGAATCAGTCCTACGTATGTAGTGAACGCCGAAGCACTAATCATAAATTATCATTCATTAGAGTAATACATGATCTTTCACTCAGTGCAGATCCTTGCAAACACCCTCAATTTCACTGTATCCTGCACTCATATTCTACCCCGTAATTAGAGCGCGGAAAATCGCACCAAACGCCGAAAACTTCGCGAAACAACATACCCATCCGTACTCCGCTTCGAAAGCAACGGTTTCATCGTACACGCACATGAAACCTGGAGTGCTCACAGACAGATGCATCCCGCTTAGCCACTGGTGGCAAGGTGGTCAAGCTTGTACAAGGGCTCCAAGTGGACGTTGCGCCGGAAGATGTAGCGGTTGATCCACCAGGGAAGCACCTGAAACATCTGGTAACGCATATGCATCCGAGTCGGGACTCCGAAGATGTAGTCAAGTTCTTCCAAAGTCCGTTGCTTAGTCTCAGGGACCCACAGGAAGATCATAACAAAGGCAGTCACGTTCAGCGCCCTGAAAAAGGTTAGAGTGGCTGCAAAAAAGACCGAGGTGGGCATAATCGGATGATGTTAGGACTTACGCGTAGAAGCCAAAGGCACCAGTTGGAGTCATAACGGCCAACATGCGGGGGAAGGTGATTGAAAGTACCGCAGCCCAGCCGAGACAAACTGCCACAGCCCAAGCCATTCCGACCTCTGCTTTCGTTAGCCTAGTTATGACTTGAGTACCGGGTATTCACACTTACCACGATGAGACAGAGGGAAGACTTCTGCGGAGTAAGTGAACGGGACTGGTCCCTCGCCGGGAGAGTAGAAAGCCGCGAACATGAAGACAAAGAGAGCGATGCATGCCAGATGCGCCGTCTGCTCCTTGGGGATGTAGAAACAGAAGCCTGCGGCCAGCAGAGTCCAAGCCATCTGGGGGAACGTGAACAAGAGCAGCGCGCGACGGCCATAAGTGTCAATGGTGAACACCGCCGGGAATGCAAAGATAAAGTTTACAAGCCCGAAACCCCAGGAGGCAAACAGTGCTTCGGTAACGTTGGCTCCTGCCTGCTGGAAGACAGTCGAGGAATAAAAGGCAACGATATTGATGCCACACATCTGCTGCGCAATCATCACGACGAAGGAAGCAAGGGTTGCACGGCGGATACGGGGAATGGTAAACAACTCGACAAATCGGGTGGCATAGTTGCTCACTCCAGCAATATCCTGCTCGACCTTGATCTGTGCGTAGATGTAGTAAAGATCACGCGCAGCCTGCAGCTGGGTGTTGCGCAAGCGGCACAAAGACTGGTAAGCGTTCCGCATCTTTTCCTTCTTGATGTACCAGCGAGGCGACTCTGGACACATGAAGACACCAATCAGCAGAGGAAGCGCTGGAATAAAGGCAGACCCGAGCTGGAGTCTCCAAGAGATATCCCCAGTGTCTTTGACAGCAAGGTTCGCGGAAGTCCCGAGGAAGATACCAAAGGCGGTCCACAACTGCCAGCACATAACGAGACCTCCACGAACAGAAGCAGGGGTATTTTCTGCACAGAACATTGGGATTGTAGACGCCTTCAATCCCATTCCCAAGCCCAGCAGCAGACGAGTCACGAACAGCTGAGGCCAGGTCTGACTGACGGCCGATCCAATAGGAGCAAGAAGGCAGAAGATGGCAGACATGAAAATAGCACCACGGCGACCCAGATATTTGTTCAGTGGGTCGGACAGCCAGCATCCGATGACAGCGCTAGACATGTATGGAGCCCTATCCAAGAACATTAGTCTCAAGGTGATCTTCACAAGATACGGGGACAAGGGCTGCGCACGCATTGACGACACCGACAAGCCACTGGTTTCTCGACGCGTTTGGACCATCCTCAGGGATTCCAAGCGCAACAGGGAACGAGAGGTTGGCGCCTAGATAATAGATTAAGCTTAGCGAGGACTGCTATACTCGAGTTTCAGGGCACACTTACCATTACTTCCGGTTTGATCCCAACCCCTGGCGGGAATATCAGCAAAACAGCTCAAAATCACCGTTCAAGTTGTACTGAAAGGAAGCGAGAGTCTCGGGCTTGATACTCACTGGACAGCAGCTCCGACAGAGCAGAGAATGATGGTGAAGTAGAGAGCCTTAGGCTGACGCCACTTATGATCTTTCTCATCACGAATGGCAGTGATCTCATCACTAGTCATATCGGGCACTGACTGAAAGTCTTCGGGATCGCGTGCCACAAGGGCTCCCTTTTTGAGCAAGGGGAGAATATCAGTCAGCTGATATTCAGCGGCAAAGTCCTCGACATCTTGGACCACTTGAGCTGGGCTCAGATCTGCCAGGGGATTCTTAATTCTATCATGGAATTAGTTATTGGGTACACGACAGAGACACCAAGACCAGATCAAGTAACTTACTTGGCAGACGTATTCTTGTTCAGATTAATGTGCTCCGTAGTGCCCTTCTCAGTAACATCGGGTTCATTGTGACTGCCACTAACGCAAAGAAAGTGAGTATACATGACGAAGAAAGAAAAGGGAAACATGAAAAACACATACTAGGGGTCAACAGCAGAGTCAACCGCCTGAATCGGGGTCACCTCCTCCTTTGCCATGGTTTTTACCTGGCTTAGGATGAAGAAAAGCGCGTGTGGATCGAGTGCTTGCACAAGTTAGAGTACAGACAATCACTAGCCGCAATGGTGGGAGTGATAAGAAGAACAGGGCGCGTCGAAGCCACGGCGTGGGGAAGTACGGGGATGAGAAAGAATGCACAACAGATGCGGGGTGAGATGGAGAGGAAGTTAGGAAGGCGGAGGGAATTAAAAGACTTGAAGTAAGCAGGTGCGAGGGGAAGTGAAGTAAGAGCGCACTGTTGGGAATAGTCGGGTTGAGCCCTGAACAAAGAGGCGAGGTCCGGTTGCATTCACTTCACCCTCCGGCTGCAGGAGGCTCTTACCAAGATGGAAGTATTGTGCGGTACTGTGATGTCTCCATTCTTCCCCGCGGGGTCCTGAACCCGGGGTAGAAGATCTAGTGGCAATCCAATCAAACATGTGAACAGATGTAATTGATAGGACATGTATTATCTGAGCGCATAAGCCCCTTTCTTTCAACAAACTCATTGGAACTCGCACATGGCCATTCTATCTGAAGCTAACTGGAACTACATCTCCTTGATAATGTATCTGTTTCCTCACTTCCGCGCACAACTACCCAGTGTATGGTAACAGGGCACTGCGGACACAAGTATTCTCATCATAGTCAGATCTAACATGCTCCTGTTCGTCTAACATCTGGAATTACCACAACTTAGGCTACTCCGGACATTCATTCCGGGCGAAGGTAACCTTTGCCAAAGAGGACTTTCCAAGAAATTGAGGCAACCATGGTACAGGCAGGTGACAGATGGCCAGATAGGCTGATAGTGAGGGCTTGCACGGAATTGGATTTTGCACCCCTCCAACCTATGAGGAAATGCATGGTTGTGGAGGTGGGCTAGTCTGAGTCTGCTGACTTCAGCATAGGTACACTGGTCTTCATTGTCACCTTGTAAGCACTGACCGGTGGGGGAGAGTAGCATACGTGCAAACTATGGCTGAGAACATTGATCCGCATGCAAATGTTCAAAGAAAGCTAATGCAATGCTAGTTGCATCAGATGATGTTCTTTAGAGCTTCCATTATCCTTGACCACGACCAATTCTTTCAACTGTCCAGAAAACCTTATCGTATGAATGGAATTTAGATGGTTACCATCAAGGAGAGCCTAAATTGGACCAGACGCACCCGTACGTGGCAATCTTGCCCCTTGCAATTAGGCCTGCCTCTTTACTTTTTCTAGTTTCTTCTCGTTTGCACCCTTATGGTTCCACTTGGCTAGTGTATGCATCGCATTGTAACGCCGTCAACGCCACCGTGGAGTTCGGGAGCCAAGTGTTGACAATTAGAGCGATGCCGGCTGGCAAATGTTGAGCCCAATGCAGATTGGTGGGCGCATTTATTGGCCACCTGCAGCCGGGGAAGGGAACGGACTGCCTCTACTGCTCAATTCTTTCCTGGGTTTAGAGTTAATTGAGAAGCGATTGGACACTGGTGCCCTTGGTTTTTAAAGGACTCGACAAGTGGAACCACACAAAGCAGGTAATATGAGCAATTTAATCGCTGTCTGAGCCAGTCTGTTCTCACAGGACCAGCCTGCCATTTCTATAGGAGCACTGTTTACGTACTTATTCCATACTCACGGAGATTTTCTGCCCACACTTCATTCACCCTTGCGTCATGCTCACGTGGAGTTGAGAGTTTATCGAGATAGATGGGGAAAAGCAACAGCGGCCAACTTTTTCACTCGAGTGTATAACATTTTCTTTTCGAAAACACCCTGGCCCTTGGTTGATTTACAAAGACGGTAAGCCACGCAACTAGCCGATTCGATTAGCAGGTGTAACCGGACGGAGTAATTTTGGGTCAGGGGCGGAGCGAGGGTCATCTTGAAAGGAGTCGAGCCCAGTCAGCGAGTTTCTTTTGCCACTCAGGATCCGAATGCTAACGTCCATAGTCCAAACTTGTCATCGATTATAGTTGGATTGGCTACTGATTGTGAGGGCAGATATTAATGCCAAGCTATACCCCGACTTCCTGTGTTGTTCTCAACAGGTGACCAAACCCGCTCGTTGACAAGGCGGGTCGAGGGTTCGATCTGGGGTTACAGCACCATGTGGGGATGAAAGGGATGAAGGGGTCTCGGCCGGAAGTTTGACTGGACAAAGCCTGGATTAGGCTTAGTTAGGCTCGAGGACGGCACCCGACGACCCTCCAATAAGCTGGCCCGCGCATCCTTTTGCCATGCTGGATCCAGACTTTACCTGTCTTCCCAGCCGCCTGTCCTGGCCACCTGCCTTGGATGACCCGCTCAATACGACACGGCCCGGGCAACAGCCTGGAAGTCGGGGGCTGGCGTCTGGGCCTCCCTCCAGGTAGCTTCCGCTTTCGCCTTACCCGGATATCGATATTCTTGATGTAGGTCGAGCTATAAGTGATGGCGGAGGTGGGATTCCAAGAGCGCATGCGTCGGATACTTGAAAGGAGACCCCAGCCTGTCTGATTATATGGAAAACATGCCATAATATTGTAGGTTCAAGCCAAGTAATGGGTAGCGCACAGCGAAAAGCTGAGTCGGGATCTGATCCCAAATCACGCACTTCAGACGACTCGACTGGTCAGTTTTCGTATTAAGCTGCTGTAGCCTCGACCAGGGTCTGCGTAGCTTTCCTCGGAAGGGACCATGCGACGTCAATTCCTACGATTCCCGATTCTAAGATCCCAAACTGTAGCTGAGGTAGGGTTGCCTGCTTACTCTAACCAATATATTTGCCGTTACGCTATTAAATTCTGCGTTTGCAACTCTGAGGGCTATGTCTATATCAGTGCAGATCGAGACAAACTGGCGGGCGGCTGTTGACCCTAGTAGTAGCGGTCTGCCATGACATGTTAGTACTACATTGAACCCCGCTGGTTCTCATCATATCGGACCATCTTCTATATTGCACTACGGAGTCGAAAAACAATGTAACCCCCCATCAGGATATAAGCACCAGTTGAGGGCACTGCATCGAGGTCTGGACCTCGGAACTAAGACTGCTGTGACAGTGAACCAGAGTGTTCAGGCTAACACGTACTTTTCCTTACACCAAGTTATGCTGATAACTTGCTATTCATGGCCATACTTCAGGCTTTCTCTTTCATTTTTGTTAGACAAAATTAAAGGATTTCTTTACTTTCATCCCCGTGGACTTGCTAAGGAGTGAACCTCACAGATTACCGTAAATGGTTAGATCACATATGCGGGGAATCAGAAGTCACGTGTGAGTAGCAATCAGAGCCCCGGTTCCGAGATGGCCGACCGATGTGTGATATCAATTTTCTGTCGAAGGCCAATGCCTTGGGAATACTCTATTCATGTCTTAACGGTGTGACAATGTTTCTTTCAAGATTGATATGATATGGACTTTTTACAACAGGCGCCCCCGTCTGTGCAGGACCTCTTGCGCGCTGGAGAGCCGTTCATCCCGTTTTCCGAGTATTCTGTTCAGGACATCACTCATCTGTCAGAAGATGAAACCACAAAATGGGTGGAGGCAAAACTCCGCGATGGGAAGCCATTTGTTATACGTGGCTTTTCTCGATTGAAAGAATGGGACAGGTCGGTTCTGAACAATGAGAGACTAGGCAGCCTCTCTTCCTCAGCAGGTATGCCCACGACATCACAGCCTGAAAAGTGTAGCCGTTGACATCTTTACGCATGGACAGCGATACCGGTAAGAAACTGCCACACTGGGCGGGATGCGAAAATGCGGCTCCAAGATCTCCTTTCGCAGACAGAATATGCTCGTACCGGCAATGTCCGAGAGTTGTACGTTAATATGATCACTGTTCCGAGCGTCGGCCTTTTAAACTGATAGGCAAGCCAGTTTGTACGCAAAAGACCTCCAGTGCCCACAAGAATGGATCAAGGCATTAGATGCATTTCTTCCTTCAGCTATGAGACATCTTGGGTCTCTTGACTTATTCCGGACGTTACCAAAGGAGATAGCTCCGGAGGTGCTGATGGCGTATGTTGGGACTCGGAAATCTTCGTGAGTCTCTGCTGCCTTCCATACGCCTATGTCCACTGACCATGTTATAATGGGGTAGTTCGGGATTTCATAGATGTTTTAGCGGAACAGTTGCGCTGAATCTATTAGTTGAATCAGAAGGTAAACGCATGACGAGACATATTTGACGTTCTCGACAAACGTTCTGATGATCGGGTTAGGTGCTGGCCCGGGGTCCATCTGCTTTGGCACCGATAAACACTCACAGGCCGTATACGATACATATATGGAGAGATTGGGAAAGTCTCCCCATACCGATTGGACCGACGTTTCTACTACCCAGCTCAAGTCCGCCAATTTTCCTATATACATTACCCATCAGCAACCTGGAGACTTGGTAATATTTCCTTCAGCTACTGCCCATCAAATTTGGAATATCAGTCCGATGGTTACAAAGGTAGTCTGGAATGTCATGCATAGCTCTTCGCTTGTCTCTTTCTTCGACTACATCCAGCCATTCTACCAGCGATACTGCCATGCAGACACTGGCCGAGTCCCTCTAATCCCGTTACATGCCTTGATCCGAGGGTCTCTAGGAACTGAGGACGAAGCTCTTCTCCTGGACGTCTTTCTAAAGTTGCTGGATGATGAAGCTATTGAGACTGACTCGGTCCCTCCAATGAAGACCGTGGATACCCAGGGGGCCGTGGTAGAATGTAATTTCTGCGGGTTGACAATATGGAATCGGCATCTGCACTGCGAGCAGTGCGGCGACTTTGACTTATGTCTGACGTGCTTTATCTCTGGACGCAGCTGCAAACACGTTGCTGATTATACATGGGCCGAACTCATTCCGCGCGCCTACTGCATGGAGGTTATTCAGTCGACTCGGAACAGACTGCGTGGTCGATTACTCTCCCGAATCAAAAATCCAAAGTATGACCTTTTCCTTCAAGCATACGGGCCCTATCTCCCTCAAAACCTGTGCTTTAGTCCCGCTTCATGAGTCTTATGATAAATCATGTGATCAAGAGTGTGCCTCTAATTCTACCTTTTCCAGGCAAAAGTCTCTGGGCGCCTTGGCTGCTGCCGCGGCAGATGCACGGAAACAACCGATGATGGTACGGAATAACCCCAGTATCTCTGTTTAGCTTGGTATTGAAGGGGCGCGAACTAAATAAGTCAGGAGCGACTTTGTCACTTGTGCCGTGACAGTCATCCTGCCTGGAAAGGGGTGGCATGTACCCAATGCTCCGCATTCTTTTGCTTCCGGGGCCTCCATCGACACTTTGACGTGGATTTGATACCCTTTCTGAGGAACACAGATCCATGGGTATGTCCAAAGTGCTCCCATTTCTGCAATTGCCGATGCTGCCACTTCCCTCTTCCTTACTCCAGCAAAGACAAGCCTGTGCGGTCTCGGATCAAGTCGATTGATCCTCGCGGTCGAATCATGGGGTTCACCGACAACGTATTCGACCAAAAACGAGGCAAAAGAGCTAGTATGGCTACTCATAGCGCATCCCTCCCGCCTGAAGTGCCTTCCCGGGTACATAAACGAGCGAGAACCCAGGTTAGTGATGAAGAGGCGGAACTACCACGACAGCAGGAGGACTATAGTACTTTCCCAAATCGTGGTATGATACAGTCGCAAAGTACAGAGGATACTATACACACAAACGCTCGTCCCTATGTCATGTCCTCACGGAGTATAGGCCCGAAAGGGCAGCTCCGTATCAGTGATCTCGTTGAGGAACATAGCCCTGCTGAAGCTGAGCCTTCCTTTCAGGCTCCCTTTAGGCATGCAACTCCTCTACTTTCCCTAACGCCAGGAGATGGCGCATCCCGACGGCCGACCAATGAGCCGAGTGTTCCAGCCACTACAGATGAAGCCAGTATCTCTTTTCTTGAAAGAAAATTGGAAGAGCTCCGTCGATATGCCGATGAGCTTCTGGATCTTTCCCTGGTGGACTCACATGCGAAGGTTCAGGAGAAAATCAGTCAGTTGCAGGGTCAGATCGAAGAGCGCAAGCGACGGAAAGCGGAGGCGCTGTTCGACAGCCTCGATCGGGATTTCCCAGAACTTGCCACCGTTGCGAGAGAGGAAGCGCGAAGACGAGGATTGTAAATCGGGAGCTAGCTTATATATAGAATACTAATGGGCGTGCAGAGCACCGCCGATAAATACTGGTCCGCTGGTCCAAAACACAATAAGGAGGTTTGTAGTTGTAGGCTAGGAGTGCAGGTAAAGAGGCAGGATGTATAAAACCCTGAGACATCCCTGAGAAAGACCAGGAAGTACCCCTGTAAGAAGAGATTTTCAGCAAATAACAAAAGTTCACCAATGACTTGCAGACACATTGAATTTTGGGCTGCGTGAGTGAGGCCCCTGGAAGGAAGAGGACAAGGCGCCCGACACCAGAGCAGCGGAAGCGATCCAGGGAAGCAGGCGGAGTTCCAGCCGGCGTCGATCGTCACCTCCACTTCTCCCTCGTCCTCCCACATCACTCCGGACTTTCCCTCCCTTTCTTCCATCCCGGATTCAGTCCAGTCTTGCTCCTCGTATCTTGATCGGCTCGAAAGCTTGTCTTGACTGCTCTTACTACAGCAATCAACCCTCTTCTTTTTGTTGCCTTACTTCCTTTTTGTTGAACCTAGCCTGGTATGTTTCATGTTTGTTAGCTCATTGTTGGCGCCCTCTAGCAACGCTTCCCCTCCCTCTCACTCTGCGCAACTGGCGGGCCTACCTGGATTTCGCGCAGACGAAGGAACCCGTCGATTGACTCACTCCGGCGAACACATCGCTTTCTTGGAATTGACAAGCCCCATAGGCCTCATCCTTGGCCGTGAATCGGTCATCCCACCCCCCGACGAGGGCTGTCGGTAGCAGGCCAAACACACTACGAACCCTGACCGCCTCCACCACCCACAACTAGCTCTCCTAGGGACGATTCCACGCACTCTCGCCCTCCCTCTCTTGCCCCTCCGTTCTTTCACTTCCAGCTGGGTGAAACGCTAGCTTCGAACTTACTTACACTACACCTCTCATCGCCGCGATCCGCATCCCTGCCCCGCTATGCCCTGTTTCAAGGGTCTCGCCGTGAGTATACACACTCCGGACGGACCTATCTCCGAATACTCCATTCAACGCCAGTCCCGGGCGTCTCGCATAGCTTGCTACATCCCCGTGCCACCACCCAAAATCCCCGAATCCGGATCCGGACGCCCTGAGCAGTCAACGTTCGCTATCTCCATCACCCTTCTCAACCCCGGCCAAGACGTCCCATACTCCGCGCCGAAACCGACCCCCGACAACCCCGCACCCAAGCCGAAGGTAGTTGGTGGGCTACCCGGGACCACCGGGGAGCGTGGCCAGTACAGCAGCACGGTTGCTCCGTACCAAGCATTGACCAATTCGCCAAATGAAACGGTCGCCGCCTACATCTACTTTGATGGCCGGGCCAAGGAGGAAGTGGCCACACTGCTGCGGAGAGGTGAAGAAACGTGGGTCAACTCTCGATGGGTCAGCGTACCGGTATCAGAGGGCGGAGGTCTCGCCGAACGGGAGTTTCTCTTCCGCGAAGTCGGATTAGAAAGATGGCTGAACGGCTTGGACTTGGAGGGTAAAGACGCTGCCGCCAAGATCGAGCGCCGGCGACAAAAAATGGAGAAGCGCCGAATCAAGCGGGAAGCAACTGGAGACCTGGAGATAAATGCAAAGTCGGGCAAAGGAGTCATGCGCTATGGCAACGATGCAAAGTCCCCGCTAGAAGATGTTTCGGACGACGACATGTCGTTCTCCGATTCGGACGATGACCCGATCCCCGAGTCTGCGGGTCAGATCAAGGTGGCTTTGTTCCGTGTCCTGGCATCTGGAGAGATCAAGCGCGGAGAGTATTCACCACAGTTCGATGCTCATGACGATGATGACGAAGCCCAGGGCGAGAATGGACATAAAGGGGCAGCTGATGCGGACATTGATCACACAACGAGCTTTGCGAAGCCAAAGACGCTCGACCCCAAGACGATTAGCACGCAGACCGTGACAGGCATCGACCCGTCCGACAAACCTTACGCCACCTTCACATTCATGTACCGTGGCGAGCGTGAGTTTATCCCCTCTGGTTTTCTGTAGAGTCACCGACTGACTAGGACACAGGTCAATTGCAAAAGATGGGAATTCTGAGAGACCCCAAGGCGCAAGAAACTCCCGGGTCCGCAAAGCGTCGGTCCTTGCAGCCAGACTTCGCCAATCTCGGTCCCCTGAAACCCGGCGGCACGGTCGGATTTGTGAACTTCCGCGACAGCACAGAAAGAAAGAAAGGCAAGAAGTCTGGTGAGGATGACGAGATGGACAGTGAAGACGATGAAGACAATTCGATTCTCGGTAAAGCAGATGAGGAGGAGGGCAAAGAAGATGATCTTCATTTGTCTCCGGACGATATCCGACGGCAAGGGGAGCTCGCGGAAAGTATACGCAAAATAAAGGTACGTCAAGAACTGATACTAGTGTCTCTACCACCGGCTAATTGTTGTACACAGCTTAAACGTCAGCATTCATCTGCCTCGTTAGCTACGAATACACCTCCGGCCGAGAGTGCGAGCCCCAATACAGCCGGGGACACGCCTGCCACCAACGATCCGTCCACTACTCCGCCCGCTGTTGCTGCGGCTACGGCCGCTGAAACTCCCAAGCCAGCCGCTAACACACTGAACGGAGGATTCATCGGCAGTCCATTGAAGAAGCAACGGGCGAGCGTCTCACATTCTGATGAAGACGCCATGCGCCGACGAATGGAGTCGGGACTTTCCCAAGAGATTACGAATGTTGGCCCAGGTGACAGTATCAAGGCAACCAACCCCCTTGAGACACACCCGCAAAAGCCCCAAGAGACCGAAGATGAGGAACTGTAACCGGTTGCTTCAACTCCCATCATCCATGCGCATATTCAGCGATACAGATGTCTACCCACAATTTTTTCAACCTTCTCTCTCTCTTCTTTTTTTTTCCCTTCACCTCAGACGCCACGATGGATTGGTGCGAGACGGCGCGCTAGCCAGCTGCGTCAGACCGCAGCACCATCTACACTCTGATTTGATCTTTTCTCAATTCTTATTTACCATTCTAACTACAGCTGACATCTACTGTTTGGATATGGTCCATTTCTGACGAAAACATCATGACTAAGTACTTTTACCCTTCACTTTCATATCCATCTCTCTTAGTTCTGTGGGCGGCTGGGTAATTGATTCTCTAGCTAGAACAGGGGACAGGCGAAGGTAATTGATATAGACGCAATGAGTCACGCAAGTTGCATTTAACGATTTATGCTACGTTTTTGGATCCCGTTCGTACCTGTAAAGCCTAATGAAGGAGACGTAGGCCGTAGCCGGCGCTTGAATGGCAGCCATAGCGTGGATTACGCTGCTGTGGGAGCTCCCTACCGTGGTCCGTTTTGAGTGGAGAGCCGCTCCCCGCCGACCAAAAATCTTTCCCTCCCTCATGTTGAGACCAATATCACCTCATGCCAACGCCTGCATCCAATTCTTGCTGATTGTCTGGAGAAGTCCCAGGAGATACTGTATTCTACTTACCGCTTCCAAGAGCCATGCCATTGACACGTTCCTCCGATCCCCTGGTGTGGATTGATTGCGAGGTGCGGGCATTCCTGTGCTTCTACCCCTCTACCAGCCGCGACTGACGAACTCCAAAACATTTCGATCGGCGTGTATGTAGATGACCGGCCTTGACTCGGACACCGACCAGATCCTCCAAATCTGCTGCTTCATCACCGATGCCAACCTCAACCTCCTCGAACCCCAGGGCTTCGAAACTGTCATCCACCACCCAACCTCAGTCCTCGAAAACATGAACGCATGGTGCATTGAGACCCACGGTCGCACAGGGCTGACGGCGGCCGTGCAGGCCTCGACCACCACGGCGGAGGAGGCTGCGACGGCTCTTTTGGCCTATATTCAGAAATACGTGCCACAGCCCCGGCGAGGACTGCTGGCGGGGAACAGTGTCCACGCCGACAAGGCGTTTCTGGCCAAGGGACCATACCAGGCGGTGCTAGATTGGCTACACTATCGGATTGTGGACGTGAGTGCACTCAAGGAAATGGTACGACGGTGGGGCTCAGACGAGCTACTAGAGTCCGTGCCAGGGAAGAAGGAGGTTCATCTTGCCCGGGACGACATTCTGGAAAGCATCGAGGAGATGCGATTCTACCGGGGGCAACTGTTCGGATTGTAGCCGAATCTGTCTGAGCGAGGGAACGGAAATCCCAACGTACACGAAAGCATAGAGAGGGGTAGACCCCAATTACAATGTAGACAGCTGGATGGATGCCCAATGGATCCGGGATTGCAGCAAGAATGGCCGGTTTTTCCCCGGTCTCTGCAGCTCGAGTGTCGTAGTGTACAGTGTATCGCGATGGGGGGGATCGAATGAAGCTCTGGCCTGAAGTCATCATGCTGACATGGGCCCCTCCTGGTGGGGTCCTGGCGTTGGGCGAAGACTCGCAAAGTCGAAGCTAATTGCCAGTCTATATTTACTTCCTCCCCGCTCGTGTCTCGCCGGCTTCCCTTCCATTCTTTGCCCCTCCCTTCTCCCTGCTCCTTTTCCTCCCCCTGTTTCTCTCGCTTCAATTGTCGGTGAGCTACTCCTCCCGACCTTTCTATATCTTCCCGTCCATACCCCTCCAGCTTCCCCTCCCCTCCCTCCCTCTCTCTCCCTTTCTATCCATACCATCTCTATACCCCCCCTTCCTCCCCACCATGTCCGTTCAAACCGTCTCCATCACTCCCTTCACCGACCAGAAGCCGGGAACGTAAGTATACCTTGATTGACTTCCTTTGCTGCCATATCCTCTGGCTTTAAGTTATATAAGTTGTCCTCTTATCTGACGACACCCAGCTCCGGTCTTCGTAAGAAGGTCAAGGTCTTCCAGCAGCCCAACTACTCCGAGTCCTTCGTCACTAGCATCATCCTTTCTATCCCCGAGGGTGCTGAGGGCGCTTTCCTCGTCATCGGTGGCGATGGCCGCTACTACAACACCGAGGTCATCCAGAAGATTGCCAAAATCGGTGCCGCTTATGGTGTCAAGAAGCTGCTGGTCGGCCAGAATGGCATCCTCTCCACCCCCGCTGCCAGCAACCTCATCCGCAAGCGCAAGGCCACCGGTGGTATCCTCCTGACGGCCAGTCACAACCCTGGTGGTACGTAATCCAGCAATCAGGCACATGGACTCCACACTGACATTATGCTGCTACTCAGGCCCTGAGAACGACTTCGGTATCAAGTACAACCTTGCCAACGGCGCTCCCGCCCCCGAATCCGTCACCAACAAGATCTTCGAAACCTCCAAGTCCCTCACCTCCTACAAGTACATTGACATTCCCGATGTTGACACCACCACCATCGGCTCCAAGACCTACGGCCCCATCGAGGTTGAGGTTGTCCACTCCACCACCGACTACGTCACCATGATGAAGGAGATCTTCGATTTCGACCTCATCCGCGATTTCCTCAAGACCCACAAGGACTTCAAGGTGCTGTTCGATGGCATGCACGGTGTCACTGGCCCCTACGGTGTTGACATCTTCGTCAACGAGCTGGGTCTGCCCGCCAGCAGCACCATGAACTGCGAGCCCAAGCCCGACTTCGGCGGTGGCCACCCCGACCCCAACCTGGTCTACGCCCACGAGCTCGTCGAGAGCGTTGACAAGAATGGCATCCACTTCGGTGCTGCCAGTGATGGTGACGGTGACCGTAACATGATCTACGGCGCCAACACCTTCGTCTCCCCCGGTGACAGTCTGGCCATCATTGCCCACCACGCCAAGCTCATCCCCTACTTCCAGAAGCAGGGTGTCTACGGCCTGGCGCGCTCCATGCCCACCTCCGGTGCCGTCGACCGCGTGGCTAAGGCCCAGGGCCTGCAGAGCTACGAGGTGCCCACGGGCTGGAAGTTCTTCTGCAACCTGTTCGACAACCAGAAGATCTCCATCTGTGGTGAGGAGAGTTTCGGTACTGGCAGCAACCACATCCGTGAGAAGGACGGCCTGTGGGCTATCGTGGCCTGGCTGAACGTCATCGCTGGTGTTGCTAAGCAGAAGCCCAGCGAGACCCCCAGCATCGCTTCCATCCAGAACGAGTTCTGGCAGACCTACGGCCGTACCTTCTTCACCCGGTACGACTACGAGAACGTCGACAGCGACGGCGCCAACAAGGTGATCGCCACCCTGTCGGAGAAGGTCGACAACAAGGACACCTTCGTTGGCTCGACCGTGTCCGGCCGCAAAGTTGTCGACGTCGGCAACTTCGCCTACACCGACCTGGACGGCAGCGTGACCAAGAACCAGGGTCTGTACGTCAAGTTCGACGACGGCAGCCGCATCGTCGTCCGTCTGTCCGGCACTGGCAGCAGCGGCGCCACGATCCGTCTGTACATTGAGAAGTACGAGAGCGACGCCAGCAAGCTCAGCCTCGCCACGGACGAGTACCTGAAGGACAACGTGGCTCTGGCTCTGGAGCTGCTTAAGTTCAAGGAGTACATTGGCCGTGAGGAGCCTGATGTCCGCACATAAGCAAAGAGCATGATTGATGTTCATAGCGTTTTTTGAGTATTGAGTAGTTAATAAGGAATAATCAGTATATTTCTCTTTCATATAATCTATGCTTTCCTCCATCCTTAGACAAGAAACCATTATATATATGTACCCTGACCATAAACCCAAAACCACAATAGCATCATAAAACAGATCATGTTCTCATAACATCATAAACCAGTAACCAACCCATCATTACAAAGTACTACAAACCCACCCCCTTAACCTTACCTCCCCACCACTCCCCCCACTTAACCACCACCTCCTCCCTCCTGGCCTCCTCTGCCGCAAATACCACCGCATGACTCCTAACCGCCTCCTCAAGATCACACCCAACAAACCTCCTCTGTGCCTCCGCCACCCCCCACCCCTTATTAACCACCGCATCCACAGCATCCACAAAGCTCCTCGCCAGCCCATAGTCCCCTCCGCCATGCGCCTTCTCCTCCTCCGCCGGCCTCTTCGGCACCGTAATCGTCGTAGTCTCCCTCGTCTGGAACGAGTAGATGGTGATCGTGCGACTATCGTAGCTGATTTCGCCCAGTGTGCCGTATACGCGGCCACGTCGCTCGCATTGCTTTTCGGTGGGGGCGATCATGTGGAATAGGGCGGTTTTGGGTGGGTCGGACGAGAAGGTTATTGTTACGGTTTGGTCGTCGCAGACGTTGTTGTCGGATTCGTAGACGCAGCGGCCGTACCACGGGCGGGAGTGGATGGGGTCGTTTTCGTCCGTGGTGGTGATGATGGTGGAGGTTTGATCGTAGTCTTCGCGGAGACGGGTGAGGAGGTGGGATTGAGCGAGGGGGATGTGTTCGGGGGGGATGGGGTCGGACTTGTTGATTCTAGGGGTGGTAGTGGTTGTTGCTTTGGGGAGGATATCTTCGATGTCTTCGCAGACGATGTTTACGGGCCAGTCTATGTCGCCTTTGGCGACGTGCATGTCATTGTAGATTCGGACGGCGCTGTAGATGCAGTCTCGTTCTGCGGGGCAGGAGAGACAGTTTGTTGCGGTGCCTGCGGCGGGGGGTTTTTGGGATTTGCGAAATTGGGTCAAGGAGCCGGTGGAGGTGATGGTTCGGGGGTGGATGGGTTGTTGTTGCGAGGTTGGGTCCGAGGAGGGAGGAGAAGGGCTGGAGAGTAACCACATAATGAAGTCGATGTCGTGGCAGGATTTGGTTAGTAGGGAGCCGTCCCCGTTGGGGGTTTCTCGACGCCAGTTGCCGCGGACATAGCTGTGCGAGAAGTGCCAGAAGCCGACGGGTTCGGTGTGCTCGAGGGAGACGATGTCGCCGATGACGCGGTCGAGAAGGAGGAGTTTGCGGAGGAGGATGTTGTGGGGGCTGTAGCGGAGGACGTGGCCGATGGAGAAGATGTTGGTGGAGAGGTTTGGGGTGAGGGCGCGGTAGACGGATAGGCAGTCTTCTAGAGATAGGGCGAGAGGCTTCTCGCAGAGGATGTGGAGTTGGAGAGGGGCGATGGCGTGCAGGATCTCGACGTGGGTGGAGTCAAGGGTGCAGATGAAGACCCCGTCGACACCGACCCGGGTGTCATTCTTGGTTTCTCGACGTTGCTGCTCCCATTGTAGCCAGGCGCGCCAGTCGGGGAATTCCTGGCCGTCTTGGGGAGTGCCGTGTTCGCCCCAGATGTAGGAGCGGCCGAGGTGTCGGCGCTTGAAGGGGTGTGGTTCGGCGACGGCGTGGATGGTGCCTTGAGTAGCGGTGGTGACAGCACGGGCGTAGGCGGTGCCACGAGATCCAGCGCCAATTATGAGGAAGCGGAGAGGACGGGGGGAGGGGGGAGGAGGGAGAGAAGTCGTTGGCATGACGGGTTCTTTCATGATGAGTCCGGGGAATGGAAGTGGAAGTAGGAGAGGGCAATGAGGGGAGAATGAGGGGATATAGTATTGGACTAAATACAAATGCAAGGGATCGCCGGGTGCGGATGATAAAGCCGCGTCGCTGGTTGGTTGGTGGCATCTTATGTCATCGGCTGATAACAGCAGGCCTCACATGTAGGAATCACGACGCAGTTGCAATGAAAGGTAGAGTACCAAAGTAAACTTGGCTAGTAGACATTATTCACATTGTAATTATCAGTAGATTAGCACAGAACCCTCACAAATGGCACGAACATGCAAAGAAAATGAATTGGGGTATCCATAAGAAACAAGCTAGCAAGTAGTACAGAATCCAGACATGATGACCATCGCCAGTCCGGGAACACCACCCGGAAACCCTATGTATAACTCCTCCACGTATGTACAGAGCACCAGTATATACCCTCATCCCCCCGGAGAACCTTTCATATACTCTCCGTAAACCGACTGCCCCGACTGCCATCGAAGCTCGGGTGACTTCGTCCGAGCGCATCAGGCCGCTTGGGCATTGTCGGGGAGAGCGCTCCGACTTGAGAAACGACCCGTGCCCCGGTTGGCTCATTGGACAGACTGGCGTTGGCGGACCCGGTAACTGGTGTGCGGGCTGGCGATGGTCGAAAAACCACAATACCTCCCACCTCCGCCGCTTCTCGAGTATAGCTGGTATCCAACGGCATGCCATACGGTGTCGCCACGGGCGGTTGTGTTGGCGGTGACCGTGGCTGAACTGGTGAGCTTGGAGAAAAAAGCGTGCTCGGCTCAGACGCAGTAGGGGATCCCGGTTCATATCCACCGCCGTAGCCGTCCCCTCCTGACTGCAGCACTGAAGGAATTTTACGGCCGGAGATCTTTTGGAAACCACGCTCGCTAGGCTCAGAGCTTAGTGTACTGTCGGTGCGCGTCGTCATGTGCGACTGGCGCCATCGCTTCATAAAAGCTGGCGCAAAGTATGACGCAGTAAACAAGGGGTCGTCGCTAGACCGCCGCGATGTCATCTCCGCCGAGCGCGGGAGAGAGCCTTCAGCTGTCCCGGTTGTGTCAGGCTCGGGGAGAGCGTCCCCAGATGGGGGCAGGATGTTCTTCTTGCGGCGGCGGAGCAGCCAGACAACAATTACGAACACGAACATAGCAGCAGCCACACCACCAACCACACCACCGGCTATCTTGCCTTTAGTTTGGCTGCTCAGGGAGCCCGAGCCCGAGCCCGAGCCCGAACCCGAGCCCGAGCTGGAGCTGGAGTTGCCCGAAGAGGATGAAGGCGAGGCACCTTGTCCGGTCGCAGTTGCCCCTGATCCTCCGCCCCCTCCATTCGAGGCCGTGCCCCAAGCTCCGTAGAGCGAAGTGGTGGAAGAAGAATCCGATGAGAAGGTGGATGTCGTGGCGGAGATCGCCTGAGTCACGGAGGATGTCGTCGTAGATTGTGAACCGGATCCCGTCGTAGATTGTGAACCGGATCCGAACACCCAGGCAGAGCTCGAGCCAGTCACTTGGCTAGCGTTTTGTGTGCCACTTGGACCAGAGCTGGACAATGCGCTAGATGGTTGGGGGTGTGCCGAAGAAGGAAGATCAGTTGCAGTAGATCCAAATAGCGGAGTGGACGTCTTCGAAGCGGTGGGCGCCGATGACGGTGAGGCGGATGAGGACGGTCCAGGCGTACGTGTTACTGCCGGTGTGTCTGCGGTCGGAGAAGAATACGCAGGTGAAGCAGTCAGGGATAGATCAACCGAAACGGTGGCAGAAAGCGACAGGAGCAATGAGTCAGTGTCTGTTGACGAGCCTGTAGTCGCGGGAACGGTCGACTCTTCAGATAGCGTTGTCGGTGCAGTTGCCGAAGTGCCGGTGCTAGTCTGCGAATTGCTGTCGACCACGTTGATGATAGTCGCAGACACCGTAGCCTGATCCCCCGTGGCTGTGTCTGATTGCTGGCGCTTCTCGAGGGACAATCCCTGACTGTCGTGCATATCCTGTGCCTGCATCACCAGGTCCAGGGTTAGCTCACCCTCCATCCCATATCCAACCGTCTGTTGCGGTATGATTGTCGGCGTCGCGGAGTTTTCTGGACTCTTCCCAGTTTCGCTAAAGTATGCAGAATCCAATTGATATTTCTTCCGCATTACCCTGTTGAACCGAGCGTGTCCTGTGCCATGATGGGCCATCCTGATAACATCCACGTCTGGCCGAAATATCCTGTGTATGTGCTGAAGTGCGGCGACTGCTGACCGCAGCTTCGTAAAATCGAAAGAAGGTGAGAGTAGAAGTGATCTCCAAATGAAAGCGAAGGACTGTGAAGTAAAGGGAAGTGTCTGCCTGCACGACACGGGTTTTGACGGCAAAGGAGCGCGGTGATTAAGTCGATCGAAGGCGACTGTAGTAAAGTCGAACACAAGGAGCGTAAAGAAAGAGACGATGGTCAACTTTTGAGTGATGGTAAAAGAAAGGCGGCAAAGGCGAATAATACTAAATCAATTGTCGAAAGAGTGACTGCGGTAGAGTTGAGCGGATGAGAGCTTCCACGTCTATTAGAAGCCTCGAAATCGTAGCGAATACCAATGAGCGGACGTCGGCTGGGATATACAGCCGACAAGTATCGAATAATTAGAGAAAGAAAAATGACCGAAAGGCATCAACAGAGATCTATTCGCCAGGGTAAGGAGCCCGTCAGCATCGAGCCACATCATCCTATCATCCAGCATTCAACCTATACAATCGCAAGCCGAATCACATACCTGCAAGAACGAAAGGACAGGAAAGAAAGCACACACGGCGACTATTTTCTTTTTTGCTTATTCTTTAAACCGAACTATCCGTTTTCGAGCTTCGCAGGTGGTTATATCTCAGGCACCCCTCGAGTCCTAATCCATAATTGCCGCACAAGCAAGTGTACTGAGTGAAACGTGCACGTCGGTCGAAGAGATTAATACCACCACCCTTTCCCTTTCCCTCAGGGCCCGTCAGGTACGAGATGGTGATTACTGGAGGGATATGTATGCCGTTCCCACAATTGACCCTCCAACCGGGACGAGGATCCACGTCTAGACCAAGGTTCCGGCCTCGGGATTGATACCAGTCTTGCTTCACCTTCTTGGTTCACCCAGGAAACTTTGGCGTGGTTCGATTGGGTCCTTTACGGCATCAATTCACACCGAACGGGATTTACCGCCTGCTCACAAGTTGACGGGTGCTGAGATGAGTGAAGTGCGTGGGCGAGTGATTCCCCGTCAACGAGATCCCGTCTGCTGTCTGCTTGCTACCTCCGGGGAGACTTAGGGGAGAACCGAAAAGGGGAGAAGGGAAAAAGAAGGTGAAAAGAAGGCAAAGAGGGGAGGAGGGAGGTGAGACGGGAAAAAGGTAAGAGGGTAGGGTAAAGAAGACGGTGATCGAAGGTGATGAGAAGAGGAGGAGGAGGGGGGGGGGTGGAGGAGGAGGAGGAGGAGGAAAGGGTAGCAGCAAAGTCTAGGGAAGAGAAAGACAGAATGGAAAGGGAAGGGAAGCGAGCGAAAGAGCGACGGGGTCGAGACAAGCTAAACTAGTTAGTCGTTAGGCAGTCCGTCAGTCCATCAGTCAGTACTAGTAGTAAGTGACCCGCGTGGGAGAGCATCGATCAGGCCAGGCCTAAGAATAACAACCGTCTGGTCTTAGACCTGCAGCGTCACTAAGGCACGGTGGGTGCGGTTACCGACCCATCCCGGTTATGGACTTAGTACCACTTCAATACGGCCGAGTATGCCCAAATGAGCGTGTTCTTTTGCCAGGGAATTTTTTTCTTTTCTGCTTTCTCTCCCCCCATTTGGGATCACGTAAGTGAGAAGAGATTAGTTAGTTATAACGATAGTGAGATCATTCCTTCTGCTGACGGCAAAACGGGAATTATACCCGACCGTAAAAATGTCATGATTTGCTTGCCGAGCTGCAGCTCCTATGTACCCCATCCGGAGAGAGTGGGCAGCAGCCGCAGCGCTCATCCTTGTCGCTGGTACGTGATAATCCATCCCTACCTACATATACATATGTCTGGGAGTCCGTGGATGGACAATTGCTTTTTCTCTGGTTTGCGCAGACCAGCTCGCTTGGGGATCCGTCAATACACACGAATTCTCGTACGGCAGATACAGTACGATAGACTCGACCCAATTTGGGGAAAGACATGGATTGCTCTTCGTCATTGGTCCGGGGCGCTGTCCGAAAGGGGGGAAGCCAAGCCTGAGTTTAATAAAACGCCGGGCGCTAAGTTTCATTAGATGTTTGTTTACGCCGGACACACAATCTAACTAGACCACGCCTGTTAATTAGAGACCCGGCTGTAATATCATCCAAGTGCCTATCATATCTCACCATCCACGGTTCTGTCCCGTGTCAAAGGCCGTCTAATCAGGACTATCTACAGCAGGTAGACAGACGACCTAACCCCGTGGTAGTCTAGTTTTCACACCGAGCAATCCTGCATACAAGTTTGACCTCGCAGACAGACAAGGGGGCCAACAACCAAATATTTCGTTACTAGTTCACATAGCAATCCTGTCCGTTGCTGATGCTGCATGCGCTAGCAGGGAGCAAACAAGACATCACCAATACCAATTCACAACCCAAGAACTCACAGCAAGCAGGTAGATACGGCAGGATTTCGACCCCCATGAGGCCACCAAAACAACAAGACAACATCCACACCCTCACCCACACACGGGATCCATCATCTAATCGAGAACGCGATTCATAAATCCACATCACGAAGGATAAAGTCCATCTAGAGTCTAGAAGCAGACACCCACAACGTCCCGAAGTTCTACCTAGGTCCCACGCAATGATGCAAGGGACTCACTCCCTAACGACTTCTCAAAGGCTTTAGCCGCTGCGATGTCACCACTCACCACTCACTCTGCAAGGTACGCCCCATCTGAATCACTCTCATCCACAACAGACGATGGATCGTCGCTATCGAGATGAACAGGGACTAGTCGAGTCATGCAAGAGGATGCATTCCATAAGCTCAACTCAGTTAGCTAGTATCAGATCCCAGCAGTAGATACTGAGTCAGCTTATAATCTCTCTCCCCAAGACAAAAACGAGAACCAAAGAGAAAAGGAAAAAAAAGGAGAATTGGTGACTAGGCAGACAAACAGAATTGGCTGCGTTATGATACACGTATACGTACGTATGTCTCCTTTCCGTGTCTCAGAGCCCCACCTCACTCTTTAGAACCCGCTATTTATATCGCAGCCCGGCCGGCTCCTGTCATGTTCATCTCCCGTCCGGCCATCGAGAACAATCTTGGAAGCTTCGAGGAATGTTCATCATTGCTACTGCAAGATTTCGGGGAGTAAAATGCTCAGAACGGAATTAATCATGTGACATGTAGGACGTTATTTGCATTTCTCACTATATGCAAAAAATCATGATCAATCTGACACAGTACCTAAGTGATCAACATTCTCATCATGTAAGATCCTAGCATATATTTACATCAAAGGACATCAAGCAAAGACAATTGACATTCCTCAATCATTCACCTACAAAATCATGGCTAAAATCTCTGATGATCATAGATTATCTCGCCCTAAGAACTATTCACATGACCCCTTTGTATGCTCTCATGATTGCCAGACATCCTCCTCACACTGTCGTAGCTGAAACAATAAACAATAAAAATGTACAAGCTTCTAGTACCGACATTTAAAATAAATGACTAGCAAGAGAGCCCCTCACTAAGCGCTCTCAAACCACCATATGACCCAAGCAGAGTAAGCTCATAGCCAATATACCACTTATTACTGTCTAACATTCCCCTGTCTGCATTTCTCCTCTCCCCGCAATGTTTTGAAACATCCAACATACTCATAATACCACCTGACAGATAGCCATAGATAGCACAGAGTGGTACTATGAAGAATACCAATTTGCGTTGCGCATCACTCAGCCCCCAACTTCAGATTCATTTCTCTGGAATCCACACACCGCGCACGCACACACAACCATGTTCAACTTTATTTTATCAAATGATAACACATCAAGTCGTATCAAATCGAAACATTGTGGGCGTGTCATACTAATATACTTACTATCATGCCGTGTCAGGCCCTCATATATTAAAAAGTGAATATCAACCAGACCAGACGAGGATGATGTAAATGAACGGCTGGAGGGATTGTAGTTTAGGATCGTCTTGATATTGAGTCAGATTTGCTAATGTAAATATATTGAATATTGGATACTAGTAGTAATCAGTATCGTGTGACGGAAGCTGTTGTCGGTAGCTTAGTCGTAGCTTGTTGATGAGATCTGTGTAGGATTGTCTGGTCCTACGTTGGAGCAATCAACAGCAACAATGCACATACTTCACTCATACAAGAGTTGCTCATCAAGTAGTATGCTCAAGGTTAAGGGACCATTGTTCGACAGTTTACTGCATCAGGATTAGTCTGCCGATGGGAACGGCGCATTGCGTATGTCGACGCACTTGATTCATTCCACATATTGGAATACCTTTCTATCAGTATCAATGCAGGCTAGAGAAGAGAGAGGAAGAAAGAACATGGGAATGGAACCTGCTTCCAACTACCTGTCGAGACAGAGAAGAAAGAAAAAGACTGTGTCACAACTATACAAAGGGTCTGCATCTCGCCAGCCACTCTCCTTGCTTTTTCACTCCTCAACCCCTCACCCTACTCGCATGTCTGACCAACGGTCTAAACAGAAGGAAAACTAGTTAAAGACATAGAGACGCCGTAAGACGACTGACGAACGCTTGTGCTACACATGAAGGGGTATTAATAATGGGACGAACATTATTAGGTATGAACTTAGAAGGTCTCAAGTTCATCCGCCCCAGCCTCCGCTTCGGGAATCTCGAATCCCTCCTGCAACACATGTTAACCTCGGATCCGGGAATGAGAAGCCTCCTTGACAGGCAACAAAAGAGGTCCGGCTAGTGTGGAATCATACCTCCGTCGAGTACAGAATGCCCTGGATGTGCTTCACCAGGGAGTCATCATCCTTTTCGAGCTCCGGATCGGCCTCGATGGCGCTCTGCAGAAGCAATTCGATGTCACGCAGCTTGGCAAAGTAGAAATCCCTCTCCTTCTCCAAGCCAGCAATAGCCTCCTTTTGCGTAGCAATCTCCTGCTGCAGCGCAGACACGTTGGCAGCGCTTGCGGCACCAGCGACACGGGGGCGGGCGGCGCCAATGGTAGGCGTAGTACCACGGCGTGCCGCTCCGGCGGAGCTTGCACCTGCGCGAGAGCCACCCGCAGTGGCGGGGGGACCACCGGAGGCCTTGCGACGAGCGGCGGCATCGTAGTCACCACCCGGGTAGTGTTGGTCCCAGTACTTCTTCGTCCACTGGAGGAACTCAAGGTTGTCCTGCATACGGCATTTCGTGAGAGATTCGACGGGAATCGGCTTGTCGACCTGGTGTTTGGCAAAGACGTCTAAACAGGCCTGTGTTAACGGAAACAGCGTTCCCAAACCACAACTCGTTCGGAAGAGGCGTACTCTGAAGAACCTTGAAGTTCTGAAGGTAGGCGTATTCGGTGTTGACGTTGAACTTGACGCGAGACATGGGGACATCCACTAAAAGGCAACTAGTAAGCCACATATCCAGGCGGGGGTGGAAAAAAAGGGGTGGGCTCGTCACGCCAACTCACTAAATATCGAATCGAAGATCTGGCACAGAGCGGCACTGTACAATCATTCCGTCAGCCTATGGGCCTGAGACATATCTAATTGTTTGTTGAAAGCGCTGCTGAGGCGTCTGCTGCAGCCGACTTTCCGCGTCTGTCAGGGAGGTTCCTACCCAGTTCCGCACTGCTCAACCTTGGTCATGTTCAACTGCAGCAGGTTGTTGATCCATGCCAACAGCTCTTGTCTGTTATCCTGGATTGTTAGCCTTGGGTGCACAGGACCAACAAGCCGTTCTGAACAGAGGCAGATGCCCGACGAACCTGGATTCCGACATAGTGGGGTAAGTAGTGTAGGAGAAGGCTGAATGCCGGGCTAGAAGGAATGCAGGGTTTGGCAGGGGGTTGCAAATATCCGAGAGGAGTTGAAATAAGAATTAGTAAGAAAGGGAAACACCCTGTAGCGCTGGATCTGTCTTGTTAATTTCGAAGAAAAACAAAGGCCAAGTTGAGCAGATGGGGATGTTTTGTTGCTGTCGACAAAACCCACGGGACTGCACACGCTAAGCCGCTTTTGGAAAATCCACAACGGTAGGTACCTAGCCTCCCCAATCTACGGATGCCTCAGGCTAGAATTGCACCAGACGGAAGTCGAAGTTCTTACAGGCAAAGGCAGCCTAATTGAAGTAGATTCTGGTTCCATGCAAATGAATTAATGAATTGAGCAAATATGTAAGCATCTATCGCTAGCCAATGTATGTCCCTGCTAATAAACCCAAGAAGAAAACCCGCACATCCCAAAAACTCCAAAGCCCAAACTTTTCCCCAGCAAATAAGCGAATAGCAAATGTCTAGCCAGATTTATTACTCTTTCAGTAAGTCTATGCCATCTAGTCCATATCCAAAATCCATTATGACAGCGCGAGAGTCTTGGCTGGTGGCCACAATGCGCCGATAGTCGGACTTGACGCTGAGCATCCAGCTTGTTGTCCAGCCTGGAAGGTCAATGGAAAGCTCGCCACTTTGAGCATCAAATACTTTGACACTCATGTCGTAGCTACCACTGACGATTCGTTGATTCATGCTGTCCAGGTGCAAGGAGCGAACCAAGCCTGCGTGGCCCTTGAGCTCGTTGACCATTTCGCCGGTATTGGCGTCAAACTGATAGATCACTTGGTCGTTGCCACCAGTGAGAATGGTTCGAGCATCATCACTGAACTCGACACACGCCAGTCCACGGTCCTTGCTGGGGAACTCCTTGACACAAAGACCAGAAGTGATGTTCCAGAGCTTGGCGACACCGTCTCCGCTTGCAGAAACGACCAGATCTCCGCGCAGCTGAACAGCATTCACTGGTCCTCGGTGGCCAAGGAGTTTCTTCACCAAGGCCCCTGTGTGCCGATCCCACACACAAATGGTAGTGTCTTTGGAGCAGGACACAATGTACCGGTCATCAAAGCAGACATCCAGCACTCCTGCCTGGTGGCCCACTAGGCGACGAATCGGCTTGTAGTCATTTTTGATGTCCCACACGATGCAGGTAAAGTCAGACGAACCGGTGACCATGATCTCTTCATCGAACTGGAGACAGAGAATGGAAGCACTGTGATAGTCCGCGCTGTGCTCAATAGGAGCCATGATGCCCGCAGAGCGCGTCGGCGGAGGGCAAATGGTCAAGAAGGGCGGCTTTCCAGCTGATTGCTGCGCCGGGTTATTGACCGGACCAATACCGGAGACATCGCCCGGAGGAGGGCCAATGATCTTCCGGCATGGCCAAGGGTAATGAGCGTCCCAAACTCGGATAGTCCGATCGCGAGAACCCGTAATGATTTTGTCCCTGGGACAATTATTAGAAAAAGCTTGAATGCGAATCTTAACCATGGAAAAACTCACTCATCAAACTGAGCACAGTAGACACTGTCCTTGTGGCCGTGAAGGTAGATAGCAGCAGCCTTCCCTTCTTTCCACCTATGTTCCAGAGCACGGCGAACGAGGAACATCCGCTTCCAATCCTGCTTAGGATGAGCCTTGCCCAAACCAGCAGACTGTCTCTTCTTGAAAGGAAGCCCGCTAGGGTGTTGTCCGTAGGTATGACGAAACACGTGCCGCCAGATGTGCTGGGAGGATGCCTGCTCACTCCAAGCACGTGAAACCAGTTCAGACTGCATGAGGGACTCAGGATCAAGGTAGGAGAACACCTGTGACATAACCTCAGGAGGAAGGCAGCTGACAGGATCAATCCGTACTATGGCCAGAGCTGGGTCAGATAGCTCCGAGCGATCGCGTAGATCGATGCCAATGCCACTTTCCGAATCTTGGGTCAACTTAGCATCCGAGAGCTTGATACTGTCCCGCAGAGCTCTTGCCAGCTCATTCTGAGCTGCAGCTGCAGCGCGAGCAGCCGCTCCCGCATAAATATCGTTCGAGATAACGGGTGGCTCCAGGCCATTTCCGGGAACAGGGGCGCCAGCATGGGCGTAGAAGCCATGTAGCGCGGAAATACTCTCAAGTGAAGGTCGACGATTAATGCTGGTTTCATTGCACCAAGAGTTTCTCATGGCTTCTGGTTGAGGATGAACGGAATTCCTGGACGACTTGTTGCGGAGCGTCACTGAGAGGCGACGGCCCAGAGCTCGCAGACCGTCCACGGGATGGCGTAAGCTGGAGAAGCTCTTGGCTTCACGGCGCCTGGGAGCAGGCTCTGGGAAATGATTCATATCTTCCAAGACCTGGCCGTCGTCATCATCTCCTGAATCCACCACAGACAGCCCATGCCACACATCATGTTCCAATCCGGTTGTATGAGCAGTCGAAGTTGTAGCAGTCCGAGGCCGAGTGCGGAGAGAGAAAGAGGGGCGTCGACGGGAGGTAATAGTGCTGGAATCTCGTGGAGCCATGACGACGATCGATGTCACAGTGACAGTCTCAATTAAGGAGAGCCACGCGGGGGACACTTAACACGAAGCGTTCTCGGTAGATTGTTATAGTATAGGAATCGTGTAAATTCCCTTTGCGCGGCTGAGACACACCCTCAGGGGTCAGACGCAAGGGTAACGCTGCTGGTCAAGGAAGAGAGATGTGATGCGTCAATAGGGGATATAAGGCGGTATCGAGAGGCTGAATGGCGTAGGTAAGGGGAGAAATCGACAGAGTAGCAGCCCGAGTGACCAAGGAAAAGACCGATGTGATCGACAAGAACTCCTGATAACGAACACCAACCGCCCGGGTGAGTCTGATAGGTAAATCGATAGTAAATAACCAAAAACAAAAGAGTGCAAGAGGGGGTGCGAGAGAGGGATGGGCGCGAAAGATGAAGAGAGAGAGAAGGGAGGGAAGGAAAGAAAGTCCTCAGAGAATCGTGCGTAGAAGAACAACCCAAAAGAATTAAACCCCAAGACCTAGCGACTGCATGAAAAAAAACAAAAAACAACACTACTGCCAACAAATCTAATAAAAAGCTGGAGGCATGGGGATCGGGCGAGAGAAAAGGGAGGCCCGCCGCCCGGGCGGTGAGCCTCTTTTGCCCCCCAGCCCGATCAGCCCCGACCCGGTCCAGGCCCTTGATTGGCTCTCCCAGGCTGACTGGTGGCGGGCTACAATTTCTGCTAAGTTTTGAGACCATGAAAAGATGTGTGCCGCGGATAATTTTCCTTTATGATGGCCATTGTTCGCCCCCTGTCAATTAGGGCATCCGTAAGGCTCGTATGGCTCGGATGGCAGAATGGGATTGGATTTGGTCCCAGGGGTCTGGCATTCAGGTGGATGCCTGATGAAGAGATGTTTGGTGTCCTACATACCATGCACGTCTCAGCGAAAAAATCTTGTTCAGGCATTAACATGTATCTGATCTGTAGTGGGTGGGGAGGAGTCACTCCTGCATCAAGGTATCAATTCCTGTAGGAAATGTTTGAGGTTCTAACTCTATGTGTACCCATTTTTCGTCTGTGCATGCCGAGAGTCGAGACGAACCCCTTTGTCTTCTTGTTCCGACTTAGGGATCGACTCCATCTCATCTCCATTTTCTTCCCGCCCCCGTGGGGTTGCCAATCCTTCACGGTCTGGCCCACTTTGTCAGTGCCAGTTGGCCAGGCAGGAATTCGTTGTCAACCACAATGCATTATGCCTCGTGTGATCGGCCGTTGCTTAAGTAGACACATTGGAGATTCTAATGCTCTGCTTGTGATTGGAATTTTGTGTAAATGATGTACTCACTGAATTAGTGCTTAGTCGTAGCGTAAGTCTGTGCGACTTTCCGGGTCACAGCCTCAATCGGTGCCGCCTGAACAAAGAGAGAATCCTGTAACGGGGGATAATGATCCCCTTCAGACTGGGCTATCCGAAATGTTCAAAGCCCCTTTCTCAAGCCTCAAGGCCAAGGGGTTAGCATAGTTGCCGCAATAAGCTTCCGAGGAACAGTTGTCGCAAACCTGCATGTTCACCGCAACAGATGGACCAGAATCATAAACATTCATACAACCATACATAACAAAGTAATTACATACAAGCGTCTCTAAAGGTATCTACTTCAGCTCCCACTTTCCATCCTCAGTCACGATCTCCACCGACCGCTTCTCATCCAAGGAAATGCGTCCTGCATGCAGGATTGCCGTTGTGGCAATCGTGTTCTTCAAAGTCGGGATCGGCCTGGCATCCAGCTGATCAAGCGTCAACCGTCCCTCATTAACAGCTGTGACGGCATCAATGAACTTCTCGAAACTGATGTATCCGTAGCCAGTCTGACCACCGAAGTTACCCTCCTCGTCGGGTGCGTACTTCATATAGAACCTGCGCAACTGTCAGTCAGCACAACAAGAAAGTTAACACCAAAAGTAGAAACTTACGGGTTAATCCAAGACAATCCAGCCTCATCCTCGGCAACATCATAGCCGCGCTTAGCCTGATTAACACGAATTTCACCCTTCGATCCCATATCTGCACTTGTTAGCATCGCCCATTCTCCAAGGCTATACACCAACCTCACGGGCGACTTACAATGGAAGTATTGGTTAGAGTGTACACCGGCCCTCTGTGGCGCGGTCCAACTAGATGTGTAAACACCCGTAGCCATTCTTGACCCATCCTTCTTCTTCCATTCCACTAGCAGAGTAATCGTGTCCTCCGTCTCATGGGCACAGCCCAGCTCGACAGCAGTTCCCGTAGCCGCACTAGCCGTTACCTTCACGGGGACATAGTCCGGCACCATGCTCTCATTAACGTCCACGTGGTGGCTGTTTAAATAATAAGAGATATCCGAGTCCTTGCCAGCCCAAGCCTTGAACGTCTCCAGCTGGCTCTTGGGCTGACTCATGTAGCTGTAAAAGTAGTTGAAGTCGCCGAGCTTGGCAGCCTTAGCACGAGCGTCACTGTAGGCCGGGTCGAAGCGCTTGTGGTGCTCAATGTACACAACTACATTGTGCTTGCGAGACTCAGCGAGCAGGTCGAGGTGGTCGGAGAGGAGCTTGGTCGCAGGCTTGGTGATGAGAACGTGGATCTTGCGCTGAATGGCGTACAAAGCGATGGGATAATGGGTGGGGTCGGGGGTGAAAATGGTGATTGCAGAGCCGGCGGGGAGGGCGTCAATGGCGGCTTTGTAGGCTTCTGGGTCGGAGGTGTTGTCGGCGGGGAAGGAGGTGAAAGAGACATCAAGGCCGTTGTAGACTTCGGAGATATTCTTCTGCAAGTGTGCGCCTGGGTTTCTCTCAGTCAGTTTGGCGAATTGCTGATTACAAAAGGGAACAAAGGTGAGACTTACGAATTCCGGGGAATTTGGATCCAGATACACCCACCATGCTCAAATCGCCGACTTTGCCGCGACGACGCAAGTCGAAGAGCGTCAAGCCCACGACACCCACTTTCTTGTCGGAGGTCGAGGCTGTACCGCCGACGTAGCCGGTCGTGTACTCGCCTGTTCCTACCTGTGTTGTTGGTTAGTGGAGATACGCGTGAAATGGGAGGGATAACTTACCATCAACACAGCTGGGGGAGCCATTGTGATTGCTGTGGTGTAAATTGTCTAAAGAAAAGAAATTGTAGGGAAAGAATATGACAAGAAACGAGGAAATAATTTTGTCGCTCAGTGGGTTGGCGGTCATATAAGAGATCCTGCTGGACCGGGTTTTGCGGGGTCATTAACCGATGGCTGGTTGAGCTATAAGTGGTATGGAATTGCATCAATGGTGGAAGATATACAGGACATGATACAGTCAATCTGATGTCTCTTGTGTCTAACAGTACCTTACGAGTTGCTCTCAATTGATGCTACTATACTGCCCGCTCAAAAACCCCTCTTCACTTAGTACACATGCAGCCTTGCTGGTACTTTTCTCACTGTATGACAGCTGCTGTCGGCGTTTGATACAGACAAAAGAGGCAAGTTTACTACCGGCTCATGCTTATTGGTGGATAAATTTGTCCGAAACGGTGGAGACGTGGGATGATACCGAAACGGTACGGCAGGGCACGCGGGGTAAACATGAGGGGTGGTCTACTATATAAGTCCATTAAATGATGCGCAACGCCAACTACAGCTTCGCAACACACATATCACATAAATTGAAAAATTCTAATTACATCTACCTTACAGACAAGTCAAGTACATCTGCCACACCCTCTGAACCCAAATCCACAACTAACAGCGACCTACAGAATGTCTTTTACCCCGCTCCGCCCCGGAGTCTACGCTCCAACCATGACCTTCTTCGACCCCTCAACCGAAGACCTCGACGTCCCTACCATCCGCAAGCATGCCGTTCGCCTCGCCAAAGCCGGTCTCGTTGGTCTCGTCTGCATGGGCTCCAACGGCGAAGCCGTACACCTCACCCGGGCCGAGCGCAAGACCGTGATCAGCGAGACCCGGTCCGCACTCGTCGAAGCCGGCTTCTCCAACGTCCCCGTCATCGCAGGTGCCAGCGAACAATCCATCCGCGGTACCATCGATCTCTGCAAGGAATCCTACGAGGCCGGAGCTGAATACGCCCTGATCGTTCCCCCCAGCTACTACCGCTACGCCACCGGCAACGATCAAACCCTCTACGAATTCTTCACTAGCGTCGCCGACGGCTCCCCCATCCCTCTCATCCTCTACAACTACCCCGGTGCCGTGGCAGGAATCGACATGGACTCCGACCTCATCATCCGCATCTCTCAGCACCCCAACATTGTAGGCACAAAGTTCACCTGCGCCAACACGGGCAAGTTGACCCGTGTTGCTTCCGCTCTGCACGCTATTACTCCCTCTTCGCCTTTGGCTCCGGCTCAGCGCAAGTTCCCCAGCACCAAGACTGAGGCGGTCCACCCGTACGTTGCATTCGGAGGCATTGCGGATTTCTCCCTGCAGACGCTGGCGTCTGGAGGTTCCGCTATCCTGGCGGGTGGCGCGAACGTCATCCCCAAGCTGTGTGTGCAGATCTTCAACCTCTGGAGCGCGGGTCGCTTCACGGAAGCTATGGAGGCCCAGGAGCTGTTGAGTAAGGCCGACTGGGTTCTCACTAAGGCGGCTATCCCCGGTACGAAGAGTGCCATTCAGAGCTACTATGGATATGGTGGATTCCCGCGTCGGCCGTTGGCTCGCTTGAGTGCCGAGCAGGCGGAGGCAGTGGCAGAGAAGATCAAGGATGCCATGGAGGTTGAGAAGTCGTTGCCGGATATTGCTTAGTCCATTGTATCATATAGATTAACTATGACTTGTGAATAGAAGGATTTCAGAGACGTGTATGTGTATGTGCAGTAAAATTGAAACCAGTGGGGTGTCGGCGTTCGGAGCGAAGTCCGACCTGGGTGGGTTATTGATAGACCGAAGTATGGAACCCCCACGCTACATTCCGGATAAAGACATGCTGGTTGGTGGACAAACAGCACCGATTCGAGGACGGATATTGTCTTTGAGAGCCCGGAGCACATCGGCGTGGATAAACCCATTCTTTGACTCTACCAAGAACTCGCTCCAAGCATGACGCAGCAGCCGATCATCATCTGAAGACATAATCAGATTTATAAGAAAAGGCCACATTAGAAATCGCACCAACACAGCCCAAAGAGAAACTTGCGGTCAGTAGGGTGGGGGAAGGGGAGGTAAGTATAAGGTGGCAGTTTGGATTGAATGATCTGGCTTAGTAGAGATTTCTATTTTTACTGAGTTGGTGGTAGTTGTTCTTAATAGGGGCTGTGGGACGTTTACTTTATTGATTTGCTTCATGTGCACGAGTAGAAAAGTTATCAATTGCATTATTCTCTCAGTGTAGCGCCATCACCATGTTCCGAACTAGCTCTTATGATAAATATAATTTAATCAACAAAGGGGGTTTTACTCCATGAAATATTCGCCACGCTGCAATCAAGAGATCAAAGTAGAGAGCAAAATCAAGCCCTATGCAACAATTTGCCCAAGCGCCTAATCGTGGTCTCATGAATATCAATATCCACCACCCATTCGAAATCCGAGAATTGTCCAGTCAGTATGGTATAGCTTCATCTCCGCGGATTGTTTTTCACTATTCCGTCTGCGCCCTTGTTAAACTTCACCCGACAATCCGGACAGTACCATTTGGCCGTGCGACTTGGCACCTCGGACAGCCCGACACAGTCAAGATGAAACCATTCTCGGTCACACTACTCATGTTAGCGGCGCCATCAAAGTAGAATTCTAGAACACATACCTCTTGATTTTCACAGCAGATCATCGTCCCGAAACTCACGTCTCCACACAGACAATACCGTGGTTCGTTCGGGTCGATCTCTTCGAGGACTCCATCCTCGTCGATTCGAATGTCCTCGCGTGCCAGAGTACCATCTTTTAGGCCAACCTCACGCGTCCCAATCCGCTTCTTGCCGGGCTTCGCCTTGCGGCGACCGTAGCTTACCGCTGCACCACCATCTTGACCTGAAGACACAGGACCGGGTGCGGGGCGCTTACGCCTGCGATTGGGAGCACTCACACTGGCGGCTCGAGCAATTTCTGGCACAGGAGTCTTCCGAGCAGGTGTGGCGCTTTTCTGACGGAGTTCGCGCTTGGTAGAAGGCGCAACGGCGCTGGCATTGGTGGTTGGTTCTAATGACAAAGCAGCCGAGCGGCGAGATGGGGGTCGGGTAACCGGGGGGGTTGGCGTAGCCGCTTTTGCGGCTGTGATCGTGGGTTGTGCGATGGCGCGCTTGGGTCCAATTGGAGACGGCGGTAATGAAGGCTTCTGCGACTCGGAGGTTTCTACAGCTGTAGTAGCTGGTGCTGCAGTTGTAGGTGCTTCTTCAGGGATGGCGATGTTTGGATCAACGGGTGTGGGGGATCCTTTGCTAGTTCGGCGGCGTTTAGTCGCGCTTCGCAGCGAAGGACGGGTTTCAATTTCCACAGGCGCAGTAGGAGCAGCGGAGACAGCGGGGGCAGTAGGAACAGGGGAAGTAGCGGAGGTAGCAGTAGGAGGAACAGAGGGTGTAGAAGCAGAAGGACCATCGGGTGCGGAGGGTTCAACATTGGAGGGACCATCAGACGTGGAGGGAGCAGCAGAAGCAGATGGGGCAGAAGATGTGGAGGGGACGGGAGCTGAAGGAATGGGGGGAACCTCTGGGGGTGTCACCTCTTCGAGTTTCCTCTTTTTCCCTGCACGAGTGGGCTTGCTCACAGCTGGGACTTCTGGAACACTGGCTGTGGGTAAATTACTGGGAGCCACTGCTGGCTGCACTCCATCCTTGGCTGTTTGTTCTTGTGCTGCTGCGGCGGCGGCGGCTGCGGCTGCCGCAGCCGCCTGCTCTCGAGCCTGGTTCTCCCGTTTAAGCTTCTTGGCCTCGTTCAGCTTCATACCACGGTTGCTAAGCTTAGTCTCGAACGTGCCCTCGGTATCTCCGGTAGCCTCGCTGCGTTTGGTCAGCTTGCCCGGAACGTACGTGTTCATTATGTCGTCACAGTCCAAGAATTCAGCACCAGTGGCCTCGGCCTGCGCTTTCGCTGCCCGGTAAGCCTCCCAGCCACGGCCGCGCAAGGCCAGCTCGCGATGAATCATGACCTCGCTGGGCTGCCAAACGGCATTCTTCTTCATCTTCTTCCGCAGTTTTGTCATTTCCCACTCAGTCAAACGCAACCATGGCATATCCTCACTTCCAGGTTTGGCGTCGTCAGGAGGTGGCTTGAGCATCGCTAACGCATTGCTAGTCGATATTGCTGGAGCAGAAGGGCCTTGAGCACCGGTCGAAACCAATCCAGAAGTCCGCGATCGCCGACGGCCCTTCTCCTTCTTGGCGGGCGCTGCTGCCGGCTCCGGAGGTGACTCTGAGGGTGTTACTTTGCTATCCGGCTCCACATCAGAATGCTCTGTGCTGGCAATAGGCGAATCGGGGTGCAAATCGGCCAGATGCTCGGCAGAGATGAGAGATCGACGTGTGCGCGACTTCTGCACAGTTGTCGCGCGAGCAGTATCGTGGCCATCCAAGCGCAACGTGATGCGCGTCGTGGTGGGCGGGCCAGAATCTTCCTCTGTTTTCTTGGTTGAGCGGCTTCTTTTGGTTGATGTGACGGGCGGCGCGGGAGGAGGAGTGGGTTCGCGCGACGCGGGCTTGGGGAGAGCTTCGAGCTTTTGCTTGATGCTGTCTAGCCGATTGAAGTGGCGATCAATGACATCGTATAGACGGCAAGCCTCCGCATACGCCGATTCACGGGCGTTGATGGCGCGATCAAGTTGTTCGGAGATATCTTTGCGCAGAGCACGCGCGTCGGGACGCACGTCCGAGGGGAGGGTGGGCAGCTGGCCATAAGCCTTGGTGAGATCATGGACGCCCTGTGTAGCTTCCAAGTAGCGTTCGTCGAGGCCGCGGATGAGAGTGAGGGAGCGAATGAGGTCAGCGGGGAGGTATTCGGTGTAGTCAATGTAGTCCGTGACGGTGGCCTGGGCGTCGGGATCAAAGGGGCCGTCGAGAATTAGCCCACCGGCGTCGTGATAGTCCGCCATGCCATCCAACAGGTAGACGGAAAGGGTATACGAATGCGAAGGGGCAATAGATGGAGCGATTGAGTGAGCGACAGAGGGAGCGTTGAAGGAATAGGCGGATAGATGGTCAGAGATGGGCGGGCACCATGGGGGTGGGTGCGGCCAGGAAGAGGGACTGGTCCGCACTTTTACATGGAGGGAGCTTGACAGACCAGAGCCTGCAAGCTAAGGTGAAAATAGATTAGAGACAAGAGAGGAGATAGGAGGGAAAGTTCAACCGAAGGACGAGGTGAGGAGGTAAGGGAGAATGAGAAGCAATAGAAGTATGCCAATGACGGGGACTGAAGTGGAGGAGCACCGCTGAGATCAGTTGGAGATGTTGGCCAGTTCCGGGCCTTCGATTCCCTCCGGCTGGAACCACCGCGGGTCGCGCCCGGGAATATAGTTGATCCGAGGTTGACAGGTCAGGCACAGGCACAAGCAAAGTATACTGCCGTCTCATGTTGGCAAATCCACCATTTTTCCAGCACGATATCTGGAATACATTGATGGAAATTGCCGGCGATGCTCAAATTTACACGCTAGTGCAATGATGATAGATTATTATGCCTGCTATGAATCACAAGCTTTAACAGCGCACTATGCTCTCCCCCTTGCTGCGCGGTTTATGACTTGGTTCCATGTTTACATTAAACACTAACTATGAGTTAAAGCATCAAGAATCGATTTTTGACCTAGATTACTCCAGTAATCAAGATCCATGAGGTACATAGCAGTGTGTTATAATCACTTAACAGTCAGTATTGGCAGAATCTACTTAGTCGTTGACAAGATCCACCGGCAATATCTAATCGCATACGTGTGTCAGGCACAAAGATGCAATGGATCTAGATAATTTTGAATACTAGTCACCCAATTTGATCCTACGAACACGGAGGCTTGAAGCAAGAATATGGAGAGGCGCTTCAAGAGTGTGGTATAACCTTAGCTGCTAAGAGCGCGAGCCACACCACTTGAGGTACACATTCAAACATCAACGTGAGAAACGCAGTCTTCGGGTTTGCTATACGAAATCCAAGGTTTGAACGACTCTCTGGCTCATTTGGTTCATTGAATATGAGGACAACGGATAGAAAAAGCTTCAACCTCACTGGAGGTTCTCAAGATGGTTGGACAGCACGTGGTAACACCAATGAACAGATACTCCCTGAGCGCATACTCTGTTTTCTGGCATGAAATTGGCTTGGTAGGAAGCCTCCAGTTTGGAAGAAAGTTTTTGGCCACATCTAAAATGTGCAGCCACACATATCTATGTTAGTGGTGATGCCGGGCCGTTGGATCCGCGCAGGAACAGAGCACCCCTAATAGTGGATTTGTGATCAACTTCAATCCGCCTGCCGTTCGTAGGCAACACAAGGCCCCACATCTCAAAAGACACTGGATCCCCGACTCGGTACCGACTATCTATGCTTTACGGCACAGCCTATTCTAAACTTATTCGTAGGGATCAAAAGGCAGAAATCTTGTAGCCTATAGACCCATTTACATGAAGGGTTTAGGGTTCAAAATGAGTGTGAGCGTGGACCTACAGGCTTGATATGTCGATCAACTTTGATGGCTAGTCAAACACGCAGTTGGTTGGAGAGAATCAATGATTTACGGTCGCCGTTTTTTCAGCTACTAAGTATTCGGCCAAAATGTACCAACTTATGTATGCCTAGCCTTGAAAAATTGTTCTTACTCTGTGGATACATCTAGAATGTTGATTGGGCAAGAAGTGAGACATCCGGAGTGGCTACCTGAATTTTGGAAGATGTGACAAGAGTCCACCAATTGTGAGTGAACGTATTGACTATCTATCGTAAATTTCGACAATAGTTTGTGGATTTAAGCTACCCTAGCTCAATAGCTCAATCCTTCGACCGCCGCATGTTCTTGGGATACTAAAAGCTGCCGATACCAAGCTTGCAACAGTGCATTGATTAGAGTACATACCGAAGCCGTAACAGCAGAGTTGCGATTAGCCTTGTGACGCCATGTACTGGCCAACTTCGCAAAACGAAAAATGGTTCTGCGGCATATTGTTTGTGCAAGGACTGCTTGTTATCGTGCTGAACATGTGAGTTCAAATATTGTTAACATATCCTCCCTTTCCCAGCAATTAACTAAGCCGCATTCCAGATACAACCTCGTTCAGTGGCAATCATGGGTCAATCCCAATGCCACTCAGGTCGCCATATCATATCAGGTCCCCATTAACATAGCACTCATCATGTTCGCCGTCGTTTATGAAATATTCCTCGGTCTTGACATGGTACATCATAAGAATATCATCTTGCTTCTAGCCCTTTGCATTAGCAATGGATGTGTACTCGCCTATTCTGTGATGCAGTACATGTCTATTCATATGACCACCTTGACTATAGGAGAAGACCGCGACTATTACAATCAACCATTGGTGGACTTATCCAGAGACCTGTGGAAAGAAATCCAGCCTGCTGAGCTTCTGGTTCCCATCACTGTCAGTATCGCGACACTCCTCATGTGGCCGATCGCGTATTGGGTTCACAGAGAATTTTCTTGGGCTATATACCAGTATGTTCAGGGGAGCCTTCAGAGTCGAAAACAATATCGAGGATATGAGGTACTTGGAGTCCTGCAGAACTAAATTCATTGAGAACTTGTGATTAACTCTGACAGGCATATCTCGTTCTAATAAAATTCGACTTCTTTTTCCTGGTGGGCTTTATCATTCAGTATGACCTCATTGATGTCCACTTTGAGGAGCCTGAGTACTCCTTGACTTTAGCACTCATTCCAGCCGCACTGCTGGTGATGACTATGGGCACATATTTTGTCCGACGTGAATACAGAGTCCCCACGGCTATTATTGCAGTTAGTCATGGAACATCAGAGTTACAACGTCCAAATGGCTAACTCGAATAGGTCTGTCGCCTAGGCATTGCGGCCTACCTACTGAGTCGGATCATTGTTCTATGTGGAAAGACTTTACGCGCCCGTACCCCAGGGAAGGATATGATGCTGCTCTTTGCCATTGTAGCATTTGTGCTCTCCTGCCTCATCATTGTATGCACGATATATTGCATACTGAACTTTGAACATGGTCTCAAGTCGGTGTTTGCCCGGAAGGATCAAGTCGCTCGGAGGTCTTTCGTGTTCCAGGAGCTTCCAAGTCACACGAACAGTACTCGACAGTCTAGACTCTCCCTTGACTAACCTGTATATTATATAACCTGTATTCGAGTAATTACTATAACCAAGATTTGCCTTCTTGTGTACGAGTGCGAACATTGGGTATGTATGCTCAGGAAACAACTGCGATCTTTGGCTGTTAAGTGGTAGCAGTTGTGATGACAACCTTGACTCAATCAATGAACGAATAGAGCATTCCCTCAGCCAAGCATAATTCTCTTGAAACATTCAATAGCAGCAGTGATATAGAGCGATTTGTCATGACTATGAATGGCCCATAGAAAGGTCATGACAACTGAGTGAAGTGCGCTTCTGTAGGCCAACGCTCTGAAACAATGCCATGTCCAGTTGGAATGTTTGCCATTCACTGGATTGTATTTCGGACCTACTGACACTTCTAGGATGACCTCATTGACTATTTTTCTCCGAACAATTGAAACCGCGGGGAGGTTGATCTCGGTAAATGACCTTCATTTAGTGTCGCATTAAGACGCCAACTATGTCAACACAATAACTTCTACATAGAACACTGGAAATGTCTATTCACGTGAGTTCCTAATTAATCATCTAATTTACGTGGTGAAGTCGAATGAAAAATGAATCCTTCATGCCTGCCAGTTGAGGCTGCATGGCTCATGGCGGAGACTACCGTTTGCACGCGTTTGCCAACGCACTGTTTCTTGAATACCTCTCCTCTCTTCCTCGCTCGCTCCCCATTTCCCCCATCAACACCTTCCTGGCAAACAAATCCACATTTCGAAATCGTCACTCGCTTTAACGCAATGGGTCCCGAAGAACGTCTCAAGCTGCTTTTTGCGCAGGATGAAGACCTCCTGAAATTGGACACCGGCCGCCGTCCTGCAAACGAAGTTCGGACCGATGATAACATTGAAGGCCCTCAGGCAGAGCTTACTAGGAACCCGGAAAACAGGCCGTCAGCAACAACTACCCAGCAGACAAGTCAACCCACTCACATTGTGTCTCTTGAACTCCCTTCTCCACCCGAACTCCCTACCCCAGTCCCGGCAGATGAACACGTATTCCCCACCAACGGCCAATTTAGCCCCCTTTTGGCTATTGCCAAATACCCCTACAGACATATGAAAGGATCCTTGAGCCAAGAGGTTTCCAGCCGCTTCTTTGACGCGGGTAAATTCTGGAATCGCTCGTGGGATATGTAAGTCGCTCAATCCATTGCTTTGTACAACTAGATCTGATAAGTGCCAGTTATTTTGTCCACGCACCAGCGTCTCTCGGGTCTAGATTCGTGCTTCTTACTCCTACCAGTAAAGTTGACTCCTTTTTGGAAGAGATAAATCGTGCTCTGAAGTGTGAGTTGTCGCTGCCAACAGACATGTCCGCCGGGCTGGTCTTGTCTTTCAAAGATGGGTATCCTCAGCCTGTCTACCTCGGCCGCAGCACCACGCGTGAGACTAAGGAACAGCTCGAGTTACAAATTCCTACTCCATCATCGGAGCACAACCGTCCTTCTGGAGATACGGATGAGGAATACGCTGCTTTCGAGACCATGATGGAAGCCGCTATCGAGGCCACCCGCAACAAAAAGAAATCTTCCAAGCAGAAACAGTTGATGCGTACGATGAAAGAGCTTGATATGCAGCAGATGGTTCGACGGATGCAGTGCTACTTTGGTTTGCGTTCCATGGATGACATTGAAGGGACAGCAGATATGGTTGACTGGGACACCCCGGGTACAGTGCCCACGGTGCAGCCGCTAGATACTACCAAGGCAGCACCATATCCATTCTGGAGAGAGCCCGTATTTATCAGCATCGACGTAGAGTCGAATGAGCGCTGCCATAGCCAGGTGACTGAGGTCGGAGTGTCAGTGTTGGACATGCAGAGTCTGGTGGGAATACCGCCGGGCGTGAACGGCGACCAGTGGCGGAGCCGTATCCAGTCCCGGCATCTGCGAGTGAAAGAATACGGCCATATCGTGAATCATGAGTTTGTGTCGGGCTGTCCTGGCATGTTTCAATTTGGAGAGAGCGAATGGGTGCTGCAACGAGATCTGGTGGACGTAGTGCGATCAAGTCTGCGCTTGGACGATGCAATGAATCGTCGGCTCGTACTGGTTGGTCACAATCTTTCAGCAGATGTCAAGTATCTCAAGCAAGTTGGGGTTGACGTGGGAGGGTTTCGTGACCAGATCGACACAGCGCAGATGTTCCGTAAGCTGCGGAAGGAAGAGTCGGTACGGTCGCTGGGAGGCGTGCTGGCGAAACTGGACATAAGGGGCTGGTACTTGCACAATGCCGGGAATGATGCGCGGTACACTATGGAGGCTCTCGTCGCCAGCTTTATGGGAGCAGGTGAGGAAAATTTGACGTAGGTGCTCGTATATGCATTGTTAGCCTAGCATCCTCTCCAGGAGCATCTTTCCAATTTGAGATTTACAGGCATCATCCTTCGGAATATCTCTATAATACCCTCTCTGATGTTCATACTCATCATGAGGAATCATCAACTGCCTGGCTACGAAAGTTGTAGAATAATGCATCTAAATAATCCAAGAACGCGTCTGCTAGCTTCAGTGAGTTCATCGGAGATGCCGCATATGATGTGGTGAAATATTTTTCGTCCTTTTTAACCATCCTTAGCAAACCGTAGAAACAATCAGAGACATTATGGTACTTGAGGATAATCTATGGACGTAGCAAGCCTACTTGAGAACCCCGAAGAACAAGAGTAAAACAAGCTCCTGTGCTAAACGTTGCATGTTGTTCCTGACCCTTCCTGCAGAAACCAACCCTAATCTAATCCCTGCCGCCGATCTCCCCCCTCCACAAGCCCCGTATTTACCCCACCCACATCATCATCACCATCATCTTTCCTCAAGCTCTTCTTCACAACCAACAACAATTCTCCTACAACTTCCACTTCCACCACCGACCACCTCACAACCACAACCACTACCAAAATGACCTCCCTAACAACCCACCTCCTCAACCTCAACCCCTCCGCCCTCCACACCTCAACCACCCACCCCTTCCTCCACTCCGCCGGCACCTCCACCCTCTCCAAAGCCACCCTCTCAGCCTGGCTCTCCCAAGACCGTCTCTACGCGCAATCCTACGTCCGCTTCATCGGTCTCCTCCTCTCGAAAATTCGTCTCCCTTACACAACCACTGCCAGCGGCCCCGCCCCTCTGGAATCCCGCATCCTCTCCCTCCTCACCTCCGCCCTCCTCAACATCCAACGCGAACTCACCTTCTTCGAGACCGTCGCCGCCGAATACAATCTCGATCTGCAAGTACCCCCACGGGGCGCGACCACCTTCGGTCCTAGCGAAGCGACGCACGCATACACGGATTTGTTCCTTTCCTCGGGCTCGAGCGGCGTGACGTTGTTGGAGGGGTTAGTGGTGTTGTGGGCTACGGAGGTGTGTTATTATAAGGCGTGGGGATATGCCAGGGGGGTTATGGAGAAGGAGAATAAGGGTGGAGAGGGAAGAAATGATGCGGATGGCGGTGCTTTGAGAGTGCAGTTTATTCCTAATTGGACGAGTGAGGAGTTTGGACGCTTTGTGGATGAGATTGCGGGGTTGGTGGATGAGGTTGCTGCGGGTGTTGCGGGTAATGAGAGGGAGGAGCTGTTGGGGAGGTGTGAGCGGTGGTGGAGGCAGGTTGTTTGGTTGGAGGGGATGTTTTGGCCGGAGGTTTGAGAATTGATATGGGTTCTATGGAGGGTATAATAAATGTGTATGGTCGAAAAAAAATGGTGTGTCGGGGGTATATGAGCTTGGGATCCGATTGGGATGGATGTATATACTGGGTTGGACTGGTTACTGTTAAAATTTGCTATACGGGGTCACGATGCTGTGACTGAAGGCTGTTAGATCTCGATTGGAGTCTCAGTGGGGTTTAATATCCTCAAAATACTGTGCTCTCATCGAGTTTGATGATCCCAGTACCATCGGTCCCCCACTTTGAGAGGCAACATTAATGAAGGGAGGTGTGGGCCGCATCGAGGATATTCGATGGGTGTCGATAAATTTTCCATATATGGCCCATCTTTTTGGAGCCGCTAGCATATCGTACTAATGATAACCCCATTATCATCAATTTCTTTATTTTGGCAATACCCCTGGTCATTATGGACGACCAAAATGTGTCTCCAAATTAGCCTCCATATCGGGAAAACAGTGGATCCAGGCCCTGTAAATAGATCTACTTCAGTAATACTGCTTCGTTTGCTCTACCATGATAAGATTAAGATCTACAAAGTCAAAACAATGCATCCCAATAGGGCATGTGGCATACTGCATAGAACTCCTCGACCAAAATATTAATTATTGTACTGTACGAAGCAATCAAACGCAGTGGGTCCGACTCACCGCCCACCACCAACTGAACTGCCGACAGTAATTCCACTCACCGCATCCAAGATCACCTCCCAAGCAATGCGATAACATCATCATCCCCCTTCACCATCAACTCAATTCCTCTCAGTCTACAACATCTAAAACTAACCTAGTACCTAAAAAATGCCCCCCAAAGCGCCCAAGGGCGAATACATTGAAACAGTACGCCCATTCCTATCCCCACCCCCTTCCCCTTCCCCCAACCAAAAACAAACAAACCCCCCATACCAACCCAGTCTCCCACCACCACAGGACACAGGCAACAAAATCTCCCGCCGGTCCTTAATCCATGGAACCCAACACATCATCCTCGGTGGCAAGACAGTAATCCAAGCGGACGCCGTTATCCGGGGGGACCTCTACCGCTCCTCATCGTCATCCACATCCACATCCACATCCTCCGACCCCGCCGGCGGCGGCGGCGGCGGCGGCGGCAGTGCACCAAACAGCCCCTCCGTGGCCATCACAATAGGCCGATACAGTTACATCTCGCGACAAGCGATCCTGCGACCACCGTCGCGACTACACCGGGGTGTGTATTCGTTCTACCCGCTCAAGATCGGGGACCATGTGTTTGTGGGCGAGCGGGCGGTAGTGGAGGCGGCGACGGTGGGGAATCATGTGCATATTGGGAAGGATGCGGTGGTGGGGAGTATGGCTATCTTGAAGGATTTCGTGTGTGTGTTGGATGGGGCGGTGGTGCCGGGGGCATGGTGGTGCCGAGTTGGTGTGTTGTCGGGGGTGCGCCGGCGAGGATTGTGGGTGAGGTTGGGGAGGGGTATGGGGTTGAGGGGGCCGAGGGGGGTTGGCGAGGGAGAGGTATAGGTTGGTTGGGAGGTGATTGCTTAATTTTGTGGATGTGTCATTGATGATGGTTATGATTGGTTTGTGTTCGTGTTTACTGTTTGTGTGTGTGTGTGTATGTGTGGCTGTTTTAGTACTATACCCCCTTGGTCTAGTTTATTTCTTTCATTTGGGAACTCTGTGCGCGCGCGATATATCGAAAAAGAAAAACAATCTAGATACATAGTTCATATTGTCTGGCTCGTTGGTCGTTGGCCAGACTTACAGTGAGATCCGTCTAAGCCGACTCTCTTTGCTGGTGTATTCTAGGCCTGCTTCGGTGCGCGCCATGTCGTTGATCCACTGCTTGTGCGGTTTGACTTCCTCTTTCTTGGAGAGCTTGGATGACAGGTACAGCCAGTTCAGGGCGTTTCCGACTGTGCTGACCTCGTCGCAGACGTTCTCAAGCGCATATTTCTTGGTCCGCTCGTATAGATCGTCGTCAGTGCACAATTCGAATAGGTGTTGTGCAACTGCATCTGTGTCGCCGACTTCCACAAGGAAACCGTTCTTCTTATCTGCCACTTGCAGTGGGATTCCGCCAGCCTTGGTTGCGATCACTGGGGTACCCTTGTGGATTGCTTCGGATACCTTGACTTCGAACCCTTCACGTGTGGACAGCTGCAGAGCGACCTTGGCCTTGGAAAGGAGTGCGTTCAGCACTTGATCCGAAGGTCCAAGTCGGACAACGCAGATCTTGTCAGATAGGTCTGGGAGATCTTTCTCAATGTGAGCTAGCACGGAATCGTAGATCACAGTGCCATCTGGGTCGTCAACGGAGCCGTGCCCACAAATAAGCAGTTTGGGCGGCGTTCTGTCGGGTAGAGATGAGGTGAATCGTCTGTGGAACTTCGCATATGAATCTACAACGTCAAAGATACCCTTGGAAGGGTCGAATCGGGCAATTTGGACAATGTACTCGTCTGCTAAGTGGTTAGCGCTCTCGCAATAACAGAAGCACATGCATGTGTGACTTTAGAATTGACCTCACCATGTGGATAGTTTAGCGTCATCATTCCTGAGTTTCTGCAAACAGAATTGAAGACACGGCCGTAATAGGCGACATCCTCTTCACGCATGTTTTTATTTAGACCATCCAACCTAACTCGGAATGTCAGCTGGATATATCATGCAGATATCTCTTGGAACTAACCAATCAGTTGAAGCAGGCATGTAGCCCACCATCTCGTCGGGAACATCTTTCGGCACGAAGATGCTCACTGGGTGACTGATGAATAAATCTGCCTGCTGCACCTGTTTCCAGATCCACGACCAGGTGTCTGCCTGTGGGGAGCCAGGCTGATCGATCAGATCACTGCGGATTTGGATATGGCTTCGGAAAATGACCGGTCGGTTAGGTGCTAGCTTCTTCGCAATGGGGATCAATGCGGGCATTTGCGGATCGTCGATGATGATAACGTCGGCGCCTCCCTCCTCAGGAGGCCGCAGAGGACCGCCGGGTGAGAGCCAGTATCGTTTCGCATTCTCGTTGATCCAATCAATAACCTTGTCCCAGTCCTCATTGCTCAAGCGCTCATCTGGGGCAGCAACGCCTTGCAGAATATTATGGTTGTTCTTGGTTATGCGAAAAACTCCGGGCCGCGGTTTGGGGACATACCTAATTTGAGGATCTATTAGATACTCGATACCCAACACTATATGGATGAAAGACTTACCACTTGATGTCAGTTCCCAACGAGTAGGAGAATCTGGCGAGGGCGTGTCTCATGAGGGCTACTCCTCCGCCCTGAGGAGTGGCACTAAAGAAGGCAATCTTTGTGCCTCTGTTCTTGAGATCGTCGGCATAGTAATTCACTGCATCCCAGGTCCTCTGTGTGACTGTCTTCTGGAAGTCCTCCAGGTTTGTAAGACGCACATGGAAGGCAGTGTCAACTTCAACTAATCCCAAGAAACCGACTTGCAACAACGGAATGTTTTCAGGGCCAAATAACCTTGAATGCTGTAAGCACATGCACACTGCTTTAAGCTGGGCAAGACATACCTGACACACTTGCGTCCCATGGACTCGGCCTGTTCATCGATGCTCTTAAGCTCCCAGCCAGTAGACTTCCGGACAGGATGATCAACGTAGTGATCAACTCCGATATTACTCTCCTCGGGCAGCACCAAGGGAATCACATCCAGCTCCGACCAGAGACGTGAGCATAGGGTGGAGCATTTCCGAGCCACTGAAGTTGGCATTGCCAGCCCGATAAACTTCTCCAGGCGTTCGTCACTATACTCCCGCAACTGGTTCAGCACATAGTCGGTAATTTCAGCACAGACGGTCCGGCCACCCTGTGGAACGATGTCCTTCTGATGGAAATCGAGAAGATAGGTAGTATCGCGAATCGCAAGGGCTACAGTGACTCCATCGTCATCGAACAGTACTGAGAGACCAGCATAGATAGTCTAATGGAATGCCATCGGTTAGAGATGTCATGGGGTATTCAGGCAAAAGAGAACTTTACTTTTGATGGAGGGGCTTCCCAGGAGTTCCTGTCAAACTGATGCGAGAGCTGCAGCTGATGAAAGGATGAACGGCGCTGGAACGGCTGGATACCGTCAGTGGTCATGTTGGCAATGATGATTGAGAACTATAGATAGAGTACAGTGTCTAGGGGATTCAATAAGGTGATTAGACTGCTACTCAGGATTTGAGAAAAAAAAAAAAAGGAACTGTTTCCTATAAATCTCAATGAAGGGACTACAGGTTCGGTCGCCGGTCCGGGGTTTGTAAGACCATGGGTGGTGGTGGGATGACTTCACCAGTCCATGGCGTGTGCTACCACTTCGCCATGACGTATTGCAAACAGCATACGATTTACTCCGGCGGCAGTGAGAATCCGCCTTTTTGACCAGGGTCATTGAAGAATAATTGGCCATGAGGAACTGCAGGTGGATCAGGAGATGTTTGGTAGCTTGTAGGTCCCTTTCTCCCAAATCATATCAAGGTACCACGAGGCATAACCATCATCACCCGATATGGATGGTGTTGATCGTCGGGAGCGGGGACTTCCGATAGGTACTACACAAGATAGCGAGTGCGCTAAGTCTGCAGAACGTACTTATGCTTGGTAGTGACTTGTGACTTCAAGGCTAGGTTCATGGCACAGGCCACGCTAAGAATAAAAAAAGTCCGTCGCCAAGGAGTCGGACTACTTGCTTCTATTGATAATGATACATGATTTGGTTGTTAGGCGCATCTACATCATATCGCAAAAGTCCTCTTGATCGGGAATAACTGGGTCCGAGTGGAGTACTCTATTAGTTAGTTCTGCTACGGGCAGGTGCTTGTGTGTGCCTGAGGATACGCTGCAAATGCTGAAACCACCGAGTGCTTGGCGCGGGGCGCTTAGTCATGGGCAGCCCCTTTTACGGAGCGCTCGAGCAGACGAGCGAAAGAGCGCGAGAGAGAGAGAGAGAGGCGCTCCTCGTGTGGATCGTGAACCCTGAAATTCTTATTGCTGCTGTTCGATCAATCGTTGTGCAATTTGACTTTCAACCCTGTTGGACCGACACTCTCTTCTCTCTGCTTCAACGTGCGTCGTTATCGCCCCTTCTTTACATAAGGTAAGTTCCATATGTCTTGTTTACCTTGCGTCTGCGAACGCATGGTCCATTATGGAGACGTCGCCCTGTTGACGCGGACCGCTAGCACGGGGTAAATTGACCTTACGTTTAGTTTTCGTTGTCCTCTTTCTCCCACGGCCCCCTACTCGACCAATCGGTCCACCATCTAGAATCCCGATTCCTCACTGCAATTGCATTGCATCGGAGACGCTCTCTGGCGCTCGTTGAATCTCCGCAGGCTCAGTCGCTCCTTTATCCTATCAAACAGTCGGCGGTCTTCAGGAGACGCCTCCTTTAGTCACAATGGGTGGTCAAGTGTCCAAGATTATGGGGAAGATTTTCGGTACGAAGGAGATGCGGATTTTGATGCTGGGTTTGGATGCTGCTGGAAAGACCAGTAAGTTTGCTCCTCGACTCTGCGTGGACTCATTGACCACGGCTATGTGGAAACTAACACAGTGCGTTAGCAATCCTCTACAAATTGAAGCTCACCAATCAGGACGTCACCACTATCCCTACCGTCGGTTTTAACGTTGAAAGCGTCACCTACAAGAATGTCAAGTTCAATGTTTGGGATGTTGGTGGACAGGACAAGATCAGACCCCTCTGGAGACACTACTACTCTGGTAAGTTTTCACTTGTCCGTGTTTTCAGCGGATCGTTGGGCAGTTGGCTGACATTGAGTGAACTCTTCAGGTACACAAGGATTGATTTTCGTCGTGGACTCCAGCGACACTGCTCGTTTGGAGGAAGCTCGCTCCGAACTTCACAAGATTATCAACGATCGCGAAATGAAGGATGCTCTTCTGCTGGTCTTTGCCAACAAGCAGGATGTTCAAGGCCGTAAGTTCCCGCATTGTTATGGTGGGAAACGACGTCGCGACTGACCAGGATATCTTCTTGCAGACATGAGCCCCGAGGAAGTTACTCAAGCGCTACAGCTCACCAAGTTGAAGGATAAGCTGTGGTACGTTGCTCCAAGTGTCGCAACGGAGGGAACTGGTATCTTTGAGGGCCTGGTAAGTTACACGCCCCCTCATCGGCAATGCTCAGCCATCTAACGCTCAACTTTCTCAGGCATGGCTCTCCAACAACGTCAAGACGCAACCTCAGAAATAAAACAGCCGCCGGCCAGCACCTGAGCCGCAAAACTTGGAGGCCATCTGCACGGCCTCTCGTGTACAACAGTTTCCTTTGTACCAACTGAACCATCAGAACACCTCTCGTTTCACGTTCGATTTGATGACAGAAGACGCAGCATTTGGATCCTGTGTTTGCAATATTTCCTTTCACGCGCACGCCGTTCCGCTTTTCCCTTCTCCTTTATTTTCATGATATCCCCACTGTTTCGATGCGGGTCATTTCGAATACCGTCTCTTAATACTATTTTCCTATTTTCCTTTCTCTGTTGTCTGCTTTTCTTCGCCGCCCCCCTTCTCGTGTGTAGAAACATTCAAAATAGAAGGAACTTGGATCAGCACATACCTGCATACATATACTCCCTTTAATGTTTTCTTTATTTTTTCTCTCGTCGCATTTATCTATTTATTTATATCCCAGTTGTATTTTCCCCGGCTCGGTTGTTGATAATATTCTTTAGATACTACCAAACCCCAAAAAATCCACATTATATGAATAAACGATGAAACAATAAGAAAAGGAACCCAAACCAAAACAAACAAACAAAGATCATATGTTCCACCAACGTCATTGACTCATGACAACCCCGTAACCATAACTCCTAAGGCCTCGGAAAATCCTCCTCCAGACACATGGAACGGAAAGCTCGTCCCACCAGTCACACTCCTCCTGGCCATCGGATGTATTATATATAAGCAAAACCCAATCTTGCATAAATCAATCCCATAGAAGTAGGGATGTTGATGTATTGATAAATAAGCTCCGAGCATATGCACAACTCTCGAGTACCCGCCCCATCCATGGGTGAATAATTGTGGCTGGCTCCCAAGTTCGTCAGATAGCATCAATCTGACACCAGTGGCTCCGGGAAGGGAAAGTTAACTTGATGGGTTGTTACTTAAATGCACGACACAGCACCACGTAGTAGTTTTATTAGTTATCTGCACCATACACACACACACACACAACAAGACTACGACAAAAACTTTCCATACTCTAAGAGTTATTAACCTGAGAATGCCCGACTACGCAACAGGTGATACGGTTCGCTATAAGCCTATTGGCGGTGAGTTACTACCACACTCTTCTTCTCGTGACCAGCCGCTCTTTTGAGGAGGAAAGGACAGATAAAGAGAGACTAACAAAGGGGTTACTCAATTCGCAGGACCTGATTCCAAGACCGCCGAAGCAATCGGCATCATCCGGGACGTCCGCACGCACTCTGGTACCATGACGGGGCGGAAGATTGAAGCGTCGGATGAGATGCCGCGGTATGAGGTGCGTGTATATTGATGCGGATGGATGTGTGGTATGGTAAGCAGTAAAGCTGATCATCGGGTCTGGGGTGGTAGATCGAGAACGCTCATACACATAAGCGAGCGGCGATCAAGGAAAGTAGTATTCTGGGACCGGCGGAGTGAAAGGCACCATGATGTTATATATTGATGCGCGGGGGGCAGTCCTTGGTTAGGGGTGGTAATCTATACTTAATAATGTTTCAAGGTAAACGGCAAGATGAGAGATAGTTAATGGTTGACAACAAAGTGATCTGCCCTCATTAGCTTCTTGGGTGGGATGTCGTGCTTGCAGTGACTCCAAGGTACTCAGTTCGTCGAAATACATAAATGGCACATGCGTCCAGGTGTATGGTATTTGAGAAAGTGAAAGAAACAATCGTGAATTTTTCTAAAACTATACATCCGATCCATATGTTAAATAACTGGTATCCTAAACGCTAAAGTCGTCACATTCATTCATACTCCCTTTCGTTGTTGAATCGACAGGAGTTTATGTCGCGGCCATTCACGACGGGTATATTTACAGCTGGCCGGGCCAGATATCGTTGGCGATCTCGCGCACAAGCTTCAGCTTGGCGATCATGCCATCGCGGTCAATGGCGTTACCCTCACGGTGACTGGCAAAGCCACACTGGGGGCTGACACCGACCTGGTTCAGGGCCTCCTCGAGAGAGATGCTGTTGCCCTCGGCGATGAACTTGGCAGCGTCATAGACACGCTTCTTCATCTCCTCCTTGTCCTCGAGGGCAGCGAACTTGCTGGTAACGACACCCAGGATGACGTTCTTGTGGGTAGGGAGCTCCTTCAGGGGCTCGAAGCCACCAGCACGAGGAGTGTCATACTCGAGGTAGTAGGTGTCAACGTTGAGCTCCTTGAAGAGCTTGGTGGCAATGCGGTCGTAGCCACCCTCGGAGAAGTGACGGCTGCCAACGAAGTTACCACGGCAAAGGTGCACACCGATGTGCATATCGGCAGGGCGCTTAGAGATGCTGTCGTTGTACAGCTTGATGTACTGCTCGAAAGTCTCATCGGCGGAACGAACGTTCAGAGGGTCCTCCTTCCAGCCAGCAAGCATCTTCTCAGAGCAGAAGTCTGCAGTTTGAGTCAGCGTGCTATCCTCATGGATAGATATACAGACAGGATGAACTCACAAGCAAGGTTGGGGTCGTCGAACTGGACGTTCCTGCAGCCAACATCATACAGCTCCTGCAGCTCAGCCTGAACCGCCTTGGCGATGTCACCGAAGTACTCCTCGTCGGAGCTGTACACGTCCTTGGGGTAGGCCTTGCCCTCCTTGTACCGCAAATGGTACCAGTTAGGAGCAGCAAGGGTGATCTTGAGGTTCTTGACCTCCTCAGGAGGGACAACGCTGGCTAGGTACTTGAACTCCTTGGTGTAAGTGCTGCCGACGTGCTTGATCTTGCCGGTGCAGATAACGGTCTCACCAGGCTTGTGACCAGCCTCGAGGAAGGCGGCAACATCGGGGGCGTAGGGGCGGAAGACATCGGCATCGACATCAGTGACCTCCTCGAATCCCTCAAGGCCAGGGAAGAAGGAACCCCAGAACACTGTCGCGGTCAACATGTCAGCAATGAGTCCCTATGATTATGCGCGATGTATGTGGGCCTAGCTTACTGTGACGGCGGTACTCTCCGTCGGAGATGGCGGCATAACCCAACTTCTTCTGGGTCTCTGCGACCTCCTTCACATCCTTGTTCTCGATAGCATCGAGCTGAGCCTCAGAAATCTCGCCATTCTCGAAAGCGGTCTTGGTCTTGAGGAGCTCCTCCGTCCGGAGGAGAGAGCCGAGGTGCTCAGCGCGGAAAGGAGGGTTACGGTGGAGTTGAGGGGCCATGATGATTGAAAGTGCTTGAGTGTTCTGTCCAGAAATCAGTTGAAGAATCCAGTGGCAACCAACTTTTCATGGGTTCACGGAAGAAACATACCTGGTCTGGTGACAGAATGGAGAGAAGAAGACAACAGCCGACTCGAGTCAAGAAGAAGGAAGAAATGGGGGGCAAGAGACCCCCTCATTTCTCAGCAAGCGAGTTCTCCGAGTCTTGCCCATGTTCTTCTCCGGTCTGTTCTTGCCCCACCGCTCTGGACAGTGACCCCAAATTCTGGGACCGATTTCGCAGGCCCAGACGAGAGACAGAAAGATAATTCAAGCAAATTCTTGCGATCTTGCGCGCCCCTTGAGTACTACTTGATACGACTACCTTCACCCGAAGACCAAAGCACACCGAGTGATCCCACAAACTTCAATACCTTCTGGCATCTGGGACAGCTTTCGACGAAGGATTGAGCCAGAACTACTATTGTAAATCCAGGAAGGCGGAAAGAAGATCGGCAAGGAAGCCTCCGGTGGGGCCAATGTATAACTAAGTACTGACTCAGCAATCCATTTCATCTGGGGTTCTTTCTGTTCTGGGCTGGCTGCAGATGCCTGAAGCAAGAATAATGAAATTTTACTTTGGTGTTAAAACAATTCCTTATCTTCCCATAAAGATTATTTCATTGCACTGTGAATAGTACACTGTTGCCGGGTGGCTGCGATGTTGTCGAGTGTCAGAACAAGCCAGTGCAGGAGTTGCGGGGAGAGACTAATGCAGCTCCACATTCATACAGCAAAGGCGTTCCTATAAAGTTGGCGTGATTTCCAAAGCTATACAGAGTATGTCGAGTCGAGTCTGGCTTGAACTCAGTGATATACGTAAAATTGGCGCGTGTAAAGTGCGACCACAGAGCACAGTCGTCTTGCTATCTGTGCAAACGCCAATTTAGTCTGTCAGAGCATTCTGTCACGGTTTTCCTGCTTATGGAGCCATCTTCGCCATTTGACTATCACGTGAAATGAATGTGGGGTCCCCCGGCAATTGACAGCCAGCATTCTTCCCGAAACTCACCACGCCATAACTCCTTCCCGGAAAGTACATCGCTGTGGGATGCCATTTATGTCCAATTCATTGGCTTTCTATACTTGATTTGAAGCTCATAGGCTCCGCAATGTGACGCATTCGGACGAAAACTTTATCTCAGATTACTGGAACAATGTCTTTACTACATTCGCCCTTGGAAAGCCTTCCGAATGAGCTTCTGGATCAGATCATCTCCGAACTCTCGGCTTCCCCTCCTTCTCAGTCCAGGGTGCACAAGCCTCCTTGTATGCGTATTACTACATCTAGAACTAGGGATTTGAAGAATCTTGCACGCACCTCCTCCCGACTCCTGGAGCTGGTGCGTCCCCACCTTTTCGCTCACGCATGCTTCGATATCAAAGATGTAGCGGACTTTGTCTCCTTCATAACGAGTTTAGATCTTGGTCGATATGTAATATCGATTGTGGCCAAGGGGATGGACTCTCCCGATCATCGAGAGGATCCCTATTGGTGGCGTCCAGTACTCGATAGTCTCGATCCGCTACGGATCATCGTGATTGCACCTCCTCCATTTCTGGCCGCCATGCTTGACACACGGATCATGGACGGACATAGCTGGGCATTCGAGATTCCTTTCCAGGTTCTCCAACTAGAACAGAACTCGCGGGTCTTCAAACCTCCTCTATTATCGGAGCCAAAGCATCCAGCTAGTCTGTTTGAGACTCGGGTATGGTCTTCCTTTGCCTTCAATGAGTCTTCCTCGCTTAGGGCGTACAATCACTACGAGTATTTCATGTTCCAGGTTCCTTCCCTGTTCAATAAGTGGGGAACTGTGGCATCCACACAAATGTTCTCCGAGAGGCTGAACCTTTCCCGCTCATTGAAATCCTTCACGTCGTTCAACTATACGGCAGTGTTTCCGTTCTATAACCATGTCAAATTAGTCTTGGATGCCGTCGAATTGATGGCCAACCTGCGATCATTGAGCATCCAACTTGCCCCGTCTCCGAATGATAAGATTACGGAGATGGAACAGAGAGGCTCCATGGACCCCAGTGACCCATGGATGGAGATTGCTACCGGATATTCACTTATTGCGCATACTGTCAGGAAGATGGGGGCTTTAGCTAGTCTCGTGGAATTCCGTACGCCGGATTACGAGTTTGATGCTTTGCGTTCAGAACTATCCACTATCCTAGGGGATGTGTTGGACAGCAGCGGATGGGTACATGATGGTAGAGGGACTTGGACAAAAGTACCTTCGAATGGCGAAAATGATCGGCTGGGTTCTCCTACGACGCCGGTAGGTAACACTCTCTGATATTCTACAGTAATGAGCGCACACTTGAAAATATTTGGATATGAAATGCGCTTCAAGAAATTATAAGTATGTTTGTGACGCGCCTGTACATAATATCTCTATATACTTATGTTCGAGACTTCCGTTTGTCTGAGTCACTTTACAGCTTGCATGTTAGCATGTAGAACAATATAGTCACAGAGCTACTTACATATATACCGAGATACAGAACATACGTCATTGTCACGTGACATTCCATCAACTAATGTATGAAAGGGGATGCTTGATGATCGTCCTATTATTAAAATCACTAGGTCTTATTTTTCCGCTTTAGTATCCAACACCTGATCAGATATATGAGACGGGTTCCGGGGGTTTTGCTTGGTGCATTGCATTTCAGAGCGGCGAGCTGGGCTTTATAAAATCCGGTACAACATTCGTTCGCGAAACCCAGATCTACTCCACACCTTGTATACATCTCACCATGAGGCTACATTGAAACCAGATCATACTCGGTCCGTATCTATAATAACAACAGACAGAGTGAAACATACTCGCTCTTCATCTAGACTACTACATATTCTCAGCTTAATTTGACAGAAGGCATCCCTATAAACAGACGCGTTGCAGAGCTACGCGTTTTTTCCACCGTTCCGTCCGGTGAAGACCATCATGTCCATCAACGCTTATATTGGAGATGCTGAGCCAGCACGACCGGTTTTAGCTCATACCTTGTTGCCATCTGGCTCATCAGCAAAGACCAAGCGTCAACAAGATCAACAACACTCCGCGGAACAAAGCTGGAACCTTTCAGATGACGTGCAAAAGGGACTTCAAAATAGTCCAGACAGCGTTTTCAGAAGTGGCATAGTCATTGGCTTCTCCAGGCTCAGAGACGGACACAAGGAGACGAGTGATGAGGACGAGTACATCGGAAGAGTATGTCTACCTTCTCCATAGACAACCTGCTATTATGCCTTCATGCATACATCTGTCA